GTTATAAAATAATTTAAAGTTACTTTTTATGCATGCAGACAGCGCATATTCAGCTTGAACGTTTTAATAGCTCATTAAGACTTGATATCTTTTTTTAGTGTATCATATACCGTTTTTATCGTTGATAAGCACTAACAGCTGCAAACTCCCCCAACGGCGCACCAAGCCCATCTATCATCTCATATCGCTGAAGAGCTTCAGACTTGGTCCGAAGTGTGCGCACCAATTAGCATATAAAATCTGTATTTATTTTTCTCGACGGCCGGGCGAACAATTTCTCTTTCATTTGCCAAAAAAGAAAAAAAAAAAAAAAACAAATAACGAGAAGTTAAAAAAGTTTTTAACTGTTAACTGCGTATGCTGGTAGTTGATAGTTGGCTGTTAGCGGTTGCCTCTTGGCTGAAACTGCTGCTCGTATTGGCCATCTTTCTCTCATATCTGTAGCAAAAGATTTTGCTTACGGTTGTTCAACTAATTTGCATATATACACACACATACACATACATATGCATCGGATATCTGTCAATATCTTTGGCTATTTGGTCAGCGAATGAAAGTGAAAATCTTGTGACTAAACCAAAAGATACACAACGATACAACGCACAAAAAGAAGGCCAAAATAAACCGTCTTTCAAAATGAGTTAGATAAATACTTATTGGCTATTTGTCTTCGAACCTCGAATGTGACTTCGAATTCCAATTGGAAATCATTGCAAAGGCAAACAAAGCGTGCTTTCTTAAGGCTTTAGAAAACTATTATGTTTTCTTTTCTTCTGCTACTCACTCGACTTTTTTTTCTTTTTGGCAACAACAGTTAAGTGCTTATGCAACTCGATGATCTTGCAACAACTCAACTTGCTGTGTCAGTGTATGTGTGTGTGTGCGTGCAGCTGCCACAAAGAGTTGCAAGGCGTTGTCTAAAGGCATTTTATGGAGTGTCGACTGCAAGCGGATATTTCACAATGAAATGCAAATGGCCCCAGGGCCAGTTCCTGCGAGCAGAGAGCAGCGCCGAGGTCGGGCAGAGATGGAGATTGATTGTGGGGGAGGGGAAAGAAGAAAGAGAGGGAGCGATGCCATGGTGTGCCGACATGAGGGATAAAATAAGTCAAACACGGAATTGGACTTTGGCAGTAGGAAAGGAGAGAGAGAGAGAGGATTACGGAGAATGAGGAATGAGAAGAAAGGGGGCCCAAGCAGAGCGAGAGAGAGAGAGAGAGAGAGAGCAGGGCAGGGTTTGGTTGCCTCGCTTTTTCGGTTGCTTGCCTGATTGAGATTTTTGCCCGTTGCTGTTGTCATTTTTGCTATGGCAAGTGAAAGTGATATATGGCGCATGACTCAGGCGCAGGCAACGACCACACACACACATGCATACTCATGATATATACACACCCCTTCATATGCATAAGACAATAATTAAGCAGCATTTTTATGCAGCAATAGACAAAAAAAATTGCAAAAAAGGGCAAAGCAGCCAAAAGCAGGAAAGAAAAAATAAAACAAAAAAATCTGAAGTCCGAGAAATCGATTAAAGCAACTAAAGCAACAGCGAGAAGCTGAAAAAGACTATATGGATATATTGAAATAGATATTTAATCATCATTCGATACTCTCCTTTAGCTATATCAAATATGGCTCTAGGTATAACTAACTCTTATAATTACTATCCACTGCTCGAGTTGCTCCGTCTCAGTCAATAGGCAGAGGTCTAACAGCCTTGATTCAAGGTTCATTGTGCATATGGCTGCATAATCACATGACTTTGGCTCGCATATGCGATAGACTGCAATTAAGGGCCGACAGCAGCAAAAAGAGAAATATATATATATATATGTATATACATATGTGTTTATTGCAGCTGACAAAAGAAATGGAAAGTGAAGCTGAGAGTAAAGCGACCCAGCAGACAGCAGCCAGAGTCAGAGCCAGAGCCAGAGCCAGCAGCCAGCATGGGTGCCAACGATGGCGTTGACCGAAGCTCGGATTGGACTTGCATAATGATTGGCCGAGTGCTCCCGTGTTGGCCGAGTTGGCCCTGCCTTGGGGATCGGTCACATTATATTTTAAGTGCTGTTGTTTAATGAACAATAAGAGTTTAAGAGCCGGGCACCGTTATACAGCCATCGGGCCACAAAGAAAACCCAAGCAAATTGTGCAAAACGTTGTCATATAACTTGTTTTTTGTTCGAAAATGAAACAAACAAAAAACTGAAAATGAAACTGAAACTAAAACCGAAACTGAACGCATCTGAGGAGAGATACAAATTTCTGATGCTGCTGCGGCTGCTGCAGTTGTTGTTGTTGTTGCTGTTGCTGCTTGGCAGCGATTTTCCCCGAATGAAAATAATGTGTGAAAAATGGACCTCGATTCGTTGATCATTTATCAAAGATGCTGCAGACATTGACTGAAGATCACATTGTAGTGATTAAGCGTTCATTGGATGGAGATCAAAGAGATATCAAGTTTTCTAGTGCATATGTATATGCGAGGCGAAGTTGAAAACTTTTGATTTTTGTGGGGTAGTCCCCATATGCAATACGATATATTATTATTTTATTAATAGTAAGTTTTACTTTTTATCTGCGTGTTGATTGGCTAGTCAAATGTCGATTCAGATTGAGAGATTTTACTCAACAACAATATCAGCTCTAACAAGTAAAGCTCAGACTAATGCTAAGACTTACCTGTATATTCAAACCCTGATCCACGCTAAGTTCCATTCTTCAATTACCACACATTACATGCCTGCAGAATTGGAGTTTTGGGTAACCGTCAGGCACCCTCTAGAAAAGTGCCCGCATTTCCCAATTTCGAATTAAGCTGTGTGCGTCATATGCCTGCTGCTGCTTGGCAAGCATAATTTGATTAGCATGCTGAGCACGTCCCTGACCCAATTTCGTTGGCAATTCCGTTTTCAATGTTTTGATGATGAGCACAAAAGCTGAGACTAGCTCAACAAATAATGCGCAGGCAGAGGTAGGAGCGCTGCCAGCAGCGGGACGAGCGTCATCAAAGTCTCGACATGTGACTCACTACGGATCTGGCGTGCGACAACTGCCAAGCAGCAACAGCAACAACAACGACAACAACAACAACAGCAGCAGTTACTATAACAACAAGCCGTGTGCCCATGTACCTTCAATGAAATGGTAACCAAGCCGGAACTTTCGATTTCTTTCGATTAGCCGGGTGTGTCCCATGGTTTCTTCTGTGGCTTTGCCTTCTCAAATGTTGTCATCGCTTGGGCAGCCACGGCCCGGCCAGGCCAGGAAAGGCGCTTGAATTGGCTCACAGCAAATCCGCAAGCGAGCCACGCATAAATGAAAGTCCAAAGCACAATCTATAAAAGTTATTTTTAACCAGCCAAAGAGATAAACATATATATACATATATATATATATGTGTGTGTATGTCTTCAGCATTTATGTATATTTCGCCAAATTTGTGGCACATTTTGTTTCCGTTCCGTTTTTGGTAATTTCTGCAATTTCATCATTCGAAATTGAGCTGATTTTCGAAATATTTCGAGTGCTTAACGAATTTTTAGCAACATTTAAAGATTGTGTAAGATTGCGTTGGTAATTTGGCTGTCGTTGTTGTTGTTGTTGTTGCTGTGTAACATTCCAATAAATATATTAAATATACAAGAGATGTAGCATCCGTTTAGCTTCATAACAATATCCGATTCCAATTGTTGATAATTTATCACACTTGGCTACAATCAATAACCCGAATAGCTAGCTGTTCACAAACTTTCAATGTTTCATAGAAATTGGATCAATTTGCATTTTTATTATATATTTCGACCACTTTTACAATTTAATTAAATAATTTCTTGCATACTAAAAATGCATGGCTTAAACAAAAGACTCTGGCAACAAACTTGCTTTCGCAGTCACTTTGTTTACTTATTTATGATGTGTTTTTGTCTAAGCCCTAATGTGAATGACAATGGATAGATAACGGGCTATGCTATGGAACTGACTCGAAGGAGAAGAAGAAGAAGTGATGAATATATATCTTAATTATCAGCTGAGTGGAATCCTTTAATGAACTCATATTCGATTCGGGCTTGCTTAGAATTGGATATGAATTGATTAAAGGATTCAGTCTGGAGTATGGGATTTACGTAACTATTTATTATCTAAATCTCAGTTTGATAATTACTAGTTCAAGACCTAGACTTAATGAGTCTGAAAAGTTGCCCATGCCCGTCTAGTCCAATTTTCTCCCTATGTCTCCCAGATAAAACAATGCATTCGATAATTGACAACAAATGAAGTCATTTAATTATTTCCGCTAGGCTGCAACAAAGGTCAACGCCTAATGATGATTTACTCAGCCCATTAAAAAGCCCGAAAACTGTCGCCACAAACAGTTAGCTGAAGTTAGTTGGGCGCATTATATCATTAGTGATTGCATAACGTGGCCATAATTTAATTTTCCAATGCATTGGCCAGAATAACAAGCAAAAGACTTGGACAAATGGCAAATGAATCAGCCGCATCCCTTTATGAATAACAATGGGAATTAGGCAATCGTGGCGACGCACTCGACGTCATCCGTTACCTTGACATGACGACGACGACGACGTCGACGCCGACGACGGCAGCGAAGACGAAGCTGCCAAAAACAAAAGCTTGCAGAAAGCGGACTGAAATGAAAAGTAGCTATAACGGGTTCGCAGTTCCACACGAGGGGCACGAGGGACATGCGGCACACGAGGCTCGCAGTCGGCTTTGGTCGGGGCGCCGAAAAGCCGAATGACTGACAACGGCATATTTTGCATTTGACTAGAGAAACACTCTCCCACATTCGCACTGCTCGCGCGCTCTTTCGCTCTCAGGCGCTCTCGGCTCTCAGCGCTCTTGGCGTCGGCAGCGACTGCGCTGGAGCGAAGCGGCTGCCGAGCGAGCTAGCGAGCTGCAAAACAGAAAGGGGTCAAAACTTTCACGCGATATAAAATCTTGGTTAGCGATACGGCCCAGCCGCATTTTCATTTCAACGTTGTGTGCGACGAGTCAGTGTCTCTGAGCCAGAGGTGCGACGCTGCTGCAGTGCATACCTATATCGATACCGATACCGATACCGATACCGATATATCGAGTACCGATCACTCACCTCGTCCTGAACACTCACTCCACTTGAGCTACATTCGCGTTCGAGCCGCGCTCGCGTTATCGACTCTCGATCTCTCTTTCTTACTCTCTGTGTGCGAATACATTGCAAGTGTTATCAGAAAAAAAAAGAAAATAAAAAACAGACGAGCAACTCGATTTGCTCCTGATATATATTTTGTGCGAAATCTGAACAGATATTGAATACAGTTGTGGAAGCTGGCCCAGACTCCAGCCATATAGCCAAAGGCAAACGTGATCAACGCTCGACGGCAGCCGCAGTGCCATTCACTATCTCTGTCTCTCTCCCATCTCTCTATCTCTGTCACGCGCAAGTAACCGGTTCGCTAAAAGGGATTACATATACAAAATACCGCTAGGGATTAACACTAATTGAAGGTAAGACAAACGACAGAGCAAAGAATTTCGTCTAATTGGCGAAATGATATAAAGAAGTTTATTTATAGACTTGAAACTGCCATAAATAAATTATAAATTCGCAAAAGACTTTAAAATGAAGCGCAGAGCTTTGAGAAAGTCTTGAATGACATTATTTATAATTAAATAATTATAATTATAATTAAATAAACGAAAGAAAATAAAGAATTCTTATAATAATTGTTTTGGATCTAACAATGTATGCTATATGTATATATAAGAAAATCGAAGTATATATGTATATAGATAGATATTATATAGATTGTAACAAATCTCCAAGATCCATAAATAGCCAAGCCACAGCTGTAAAAAGTAATTAGAGATGATGATGGAATTAATAGAGAAATGACAAACATCATTATTAATTAAGGATTAGCATCATCATTATAAAGGCTAGAGGAATAATTCTCTTATCTACTATTTCCCAATGCAGTATCCCTTAACTGTCTCAAATGTACTCTTCTATTATTTTTGCAATTTCTTGACGCTCTACGGTCCACAGTCCCAGCTAATTATGAAAATTAAGTTTTTTTTTTTTCAGTTTTGCTGCTCCGTTGTTATCTCTGCTAAAGTAAACCGATTTCGAATCGTTGCAAACGCAATTTACAGCTACTTTCGATAGGTGCCGCAAATACTTGCTGCCTTGCAACAAGTTCTATGTGTGCAACGCATCCGAGTCAAGTTGGCAAACGAGCTTCTCTATAAAAAATAATTATAATAAAAATAAAAATAATAATAAAACCGCAGCTCCATTTGCGCACAAAAGCGTTGCAACATTTGGGAAAGAAAAGCAAAGTGTTTTTTTTTTTTCGTTAGTCACAGCTACATATGTGTGTATGTGCGTGTGTGTGTGTGTGTGTGTAGATTTGCCTATTATTGAGAGAGCAAAAGAAAGCAGACGATAAAACTTTCGTCGAGTTGCCTTGGCGTGCAATACGCGGAAATTATTAATAACAAAAGAGCCGTACTTGCCACACACACACACACACACACACACAATGAGACACTCGCACACACACAATTACAGTTTTAGAGTCGCTGCTGAGCCGTGAAGCAGCGGCATTTCAGACTCTTTTTTTGTTCATTAGTTGAATTTGCATAAATCTAGGCAATTTGGCAGCCACCCGCTTAGGCCAGAGCAGACGCGTTTCTTTAATGGAACTCGAACTGACACTGGAACTGGAACTGGAATTGGAACTGGAACTGGCACGGGAACTGGCTGCGAAAAGTTCTCGTCGCGTTTGCTGGTGAAATTTTCATCGCGTTTCGCGCGAATGAAAGTCTGAAATTGACTTGTGCCGCTTCTCATTTGGCGCTGCTGCTGCTGCTGTTGCAGCTAGTTGTTGGTGGCTTATGCTAGAGCTACAATTGCAATAGCTCTGCAGTTTTCCACACATGTGTCCAAGTGTGTGTGTGTGTGTGTGTTTGATTAAGCTAGCGAATTGCTTTGTTCAAAAACTGCTCCACTTTGGCGCACATGAAAACAATTTCGCTTTGCACACAGACACAGACACGCACACACATACACACAGACGTTAGCAATTCGTAGATACTTTCGTAGCTGCAACTGTTGCTGCAGCAGTCAGGCACGCGTGCTTGTATTGTGCTTGCACTTACCTGCCTGCCTAGCCGCCTGCCAAGTGGGTTGCGCATACGCAGCGTGGAACGTCAGCGAGACGTGCTGCTGCTGCTGCGGCTGCTGCTGCTGGCACTTGTCATTTGCCCAAACATAGCACTGGCAATACTTTTAATTGATTCCACAGACACACACACACACACGTACATGCACACGCAGGTGAAAGAAGCTGCGCCACTTGCAACGATATAATTACTGGTTTACTGACTGCAGTTGCTGCTGCTGCCTGCTGCTGCTGCCTGCTGCTGCTTGCCTTGGCGACAATTTTAAATTAACGGCAATTGTTTTTGCCGCCTGTACAATTTTCACGCAGTTTTTCCAAGTCAGCGTGAACAACAACAAAAAACTTTCATTGCTCAGACTTTGGCAACAATTGCTGTTGTTGTTGTTGCCGCGCTGCAGCTGCAGCAACATGGCGGCTTTATGAGCCTCCATTGACGTTAAAAGCAAATGTTTAGAATGCGCAGGCATGTCTTACCCACAACAACAACAATAACAGCAACAATTACGCAGCTATTTTTGAGCGGAGTCTGGGATTTTCTCCTCTCTAAATGCGAGTGCCGTAAAGCAGTTAGAAACTCGTCTACAACTGCGATTAGACTAAGCAGACTAAGTAGTCTATGATTAGCAGCTAAACTAAAGCAACTCCTTGCCACACTCTCACATTCAATCGAAATCCAAATCGAAATCGAAATCTTTAACACCACAAAAACTCATTTGAACTTCGGCTTTCAATTCAATTGGCGCTTTGATTAAGCATAATCAAATTTTCATTTGATTTGAATGCTATTCAAATGGGCTGAGGCAGCGGCAGCAGCAGCAGCAGCGGCAGCGGGAGTGAAGTGCATGAGTGCCCCTCGCTGCAACTGTGGCAAGTGAGGCAGCCCGCTGACAGCAATTGTAAAGAAATGAAAACCACTTTCTTTGCATGCATGCCACAAACTACGCCAACACCAGCAACAGCAGCAATAACAACAACAACAACTGCAACCCAAGTCAAGCCAAGCAAATTGCATGCGTCTTGTGGCTGGCCGGGGCAGGCAAGCGGAACACACCGACGCCGATGCCGACGTCGGCAGCTCGAAATTGGGTCACTAATTATTTCAGAGCAAAATGCAACCGGCCCCCAGTCGCAGTCGCAGTCGCAGTCGACGTTGCAGTGCAAGCTGCAGCCGCAGCTAACGATGCGTTGCGAAGCCACTTCGAGGATATGCCAGCTAGATTTTCCATCTCTTTCTCTCGCTCATCTCCCTCCTTCGTTTTCTTTGTTGGCGACTCTCTTTTATGCCTGACTTTCGGCTCTTTCACTGCGAACTGCAGCCGGAAAGTGCAAGCCCTTGAGTTTTTACTTTCATTGCAACGACAGCAGCAGCAGCAGCAACTGCAGTCGGATCGGGTGAGTAGGGGGAGAGGGGAAGGCAGGGAAGCCAATGAAACTGGTTTTCAGCACATTTGCCAAGTTCCAAGTGACCAAGTCGCCAAATGCATGTCCATGTCCATGTCCGCTGAACGGGCCTTTGCTCTTGGCTTGCCTTCGCGAAATGCGCTCCGTTCGTACGGTTTACCGTTAAACGAAATGGAAAGTAAATGAATGGAATAGCATGGCATGGCATGGCATGGAATGGGAGGGAGGGAAGTTGTAAATTATGTTAATTGTGTCTCGTTTCTGCTGGGGTGCACTCCAATGGCCAATGGCCAATGGCCAATGGCTGCTTATCGCCGGATCCTGACTAACGGCACTTTGTTCAACTCATTTGGCATGTTTAGTGGCTGCCTCTTCCTCTTCCCACTCCTCTATCTCTCCCTCTGCCTCCTCTTGAGCTGCAGCTTCAGCCATTGTCGTTGCTGACAGTGGAGGCTATCTTCAATCAGACAAACGAGGAGAAATCTAATTGGACACCAAAAGCTGACAGCACTGATCTAATAGATCTCATATGTGTGCGCAGGCACACACCATGCATATGTATATCTACACATATATGTATGTGTAATTGTCAAATTGTAGCCCATTTGTCGCTCCATTTACCATGCGGCTGCATATCAGAATCCTATGCATATATTCAAGCGCGCTTTTCACTTTCCCTATATTTTGCGTGAAATGCGTTATCTTGTTGCTTTTGTTGTCTACGCATATGCGAAAAATTTCACGCAAAGCGCTGGCAAAACTGAGTGAATGGATGGAATGCCTGGCAGGCAGGCAGCAGGTAGCAGGCAGGTAGGCAAGCGCCGGTGGCATGCAACAATTTACTTTCATTTGCGGCACAGGCGTGCATGTCTAGGCGGAGAGTTGACTGCAAGACTGCGGGCGCCTTATCACTTTTTAATTGTCGCCAAACTGTCGCGACAACAACAACAGCAACAACATGAAACTGGAGCATAGAAAACTAATTGTCTGCTCTATTTTACATAATGCTAAGTCGCTTGGCTGCGGGCATTTGTGAAATTGCAGCCAAGTTTGTTGCCTAAGTCATTCGTTTTTTTTTTAGCAGAAAAAGTTATTGATAGCATTTTTTTATATTTTGTGTTACATAAATCGTTTTATTGGCTGCTTAATTATTTTTTGTTAGCAATTTTGATGGCCATAAAGTTTACTACTTTTGTTTTATAAAGATCTTTAACAATTATGCTGGCATGCGCGCAGCTCACTCGGGCATTCGCGCATTCGGGCACTCGGCCCAGTTCCAGCGTCACGAACAATTGCCCTTTGACAAAACTATCTGAGATGGGGAAACAATCGTTACTTAATAGCTATAAAGAAACTGAAGAGCTAAAGTGAGCCGAGTGGCTGGCACATACCAAACCAAATGAAATGAAACGTAAATTGCCCCTTCACTAGCCAGCCAAAGAAACAACAACAACAACAACAACAACAACAAGAGCAACAACAACAGCAACAGCAAGAGCAACAACAAGCATGTGTAAAACCTTGGTGGTTAACATTTGTTTTGTTGTTTGCTTTTCTTTGGCGTTAACAATTTCACTTTCACAGCATCCCAGCTCGATATAGATATATGTACATGTATGTATGTACACATATACATACACGTACAGCTGGCTCGATAGAGACATATGTTAGTGCTTAATTACGCATGGGGGGCTACAATTTCTATGCCACAATGGCAAATAATATCGATCATTTAGAGCCACAACCACAACCACAAATGCGCATGTGTGCGTGTGTTCGTTGCCGTTATATTAAAGAAGCAGCAGAGAGAGAGAGAGACACACACACACACACGCACACAGTGAGCTCGCAGCATCTGCTTGGCAGTGAAACTTTTACTTAGCAAGCAAAAGCCAAAGCAGCAATCGAATTGGTAAACAAAAACATTCCAACACATAAAAATTGACAAACGAACAAAAAAAAGAAGAAAAAAAAAACTCAATTTTGAGTTCTGTTTTTGTTGTTGTTGTGTGTTTTAAGCAAAACCCGTGCCCATTGTCTGCATTTGGGCTTCAACTCTGCTTAGCTGGGCTGGGCTACGCTCAGCAAAAATTTGTCAGCTTCAGGCGTGCTCAATTAAACAAAAATCTATAGCTGCTGCCGTAAACTCCCCGCCTCCCCCTCCCAATTCGGATGCTGGACATTTGTCTTGCCAAAAAGTGTGCGGCAGTGGGAATTTGTGAAAGCGTTCAATTAATTTAATGGAAATAGCCAAGCAGCTGACGTTGCTGCTGCTGCTGCTAGCTGCCAAAAACTCATCAAAAGCCGCAAAGAAATTAGCTTTATGTTACATCAAATGCATTTTATGGCTTGGCTAATTGACAGCGATGGAATGCGCTGGCATGCAATAAACTAAATGATAATTATAGATATATATAGAGATCGATATCTGTGGAGATAATGCCCAAGTCTTGCTGCATGACATGCCAGTTGGCATTGATTGCTGCAATTCGTGTGTCATCGATGGCAACAAAAGTCAGATGCTGCTCAATATCCGGCTCATCTAGCCCAAATTGTTGGTCATCTGAGCACACCAGGTAAATTATCAAGAATTAGAACAAATAGACTGTGTGTGTGTTTGTGCCACAGTGCAGTGGTTCACCTAGTTTCTAGCCAACGACGACAACGACCAGTCAAGGAGACAGCTACAATTGTCATTTCAATCAATAGACGGACGCCAAGCAGAGCTCCCTCTGCTAAAGCAAACAAACAACCCACAAGCAGCAAGCAGCAAGCAACAAGAGCAACAACTTTTCATTGCATTTTCACTAGCTGCTGGCACTTTTCACATTATTTAATGTTTGCCAGTAACAAAAGACTTGGCAGCTGCAGTTGAAGCTGCCGCTAAGCTAATTAGACAGGAAGACCGAAAAAGCATTTCTTTTGTTTGTTTGCTTTTTGTGTAGAGGCGGCGATAACGCGTGCGATAACGATAACGATATGTAGAAATGCCTGTAAGCAGTAATTTGAGTGTGTTAATTAAAAAAGAAAACAAAAGGCAGTAGCAGCAACAACAGCAGCAGCAGCAATGCCCTTATATGAAAAAGAGATGCCAGACGAAAGCTCGCTGGGAGTTGCGCATGGCAAACGTCAACTTTCACTTGCCTTATGCCAAACAGCCACAGCAACAACAACAGCAACAGCAACAAATAACAAGCCAAGTCAGTCATCAGCATCAGCAGCAGTTACACATTACTATAAACAACAACAGCAACAGCAACAACAATGACAATGACAACAATAACAATGTTCACTTAAGCTGAGCGTGGCTCATCATCCAAATGCCAATCAGCCACGAGAGCTGCCTAGAAGGCATTCTTATACACTAACCCTGGAGGAGTACATTGACTATAAGCCCAGCATAGATAGATTCTTGACTAACTATGCATATAAAAATGCAGCTATTATAAAGATAAGATATATATATATATATGTATGCTTACTAAATAGTTGATATAGTACTAAATATTTATATAGAAATGCTGATATTATTCGTAGTGATATTTAGTTGCAGAGCTAGTCTAAACTAACAACTGAGTCAGTGTATCTAATATGCGGCCTACTATCTAGACATACATAGATATACATATCTCAATAGCTTGTCTAATTTAGCGATGCGTTGATTTGATAACGAATCATTTTGTGGTAGCTACGCTGGAGCAGCAATTAGCAAAAACCACAAAGAAAAATAGAGATGAAGAAAAAGCCAAAAATTTCGCTGCTTGTTAATTGCCAAATTTGTGTCTTAAGTCTTTCGTATGCAAATGGGGAGACAGCTAATTTTTTTTGTTTTTTTGCTCAGGTGAAAATAGTCGAATAGGAAGAAAGTGAAGCAGTAGCAGCAGTACAAAGCACCGTTAAACTGAGCTGCCCACACACACACGCACACACACACATTGTGGTCAGCCCCATTCATTGAAGTTCTTTTGGGAGCATTGCGTAACGAGCTAACTCGGCGTTTGTTTGGCTAGGGTCAAGCGGCGTTGACAGCGCTGCCGACAGCAAAGCAGCGACGCAGCGTCCGTTACTGTCTCAGTGGGTTAATAGTACACTTGCTCAATGGTAGCTTGCCGACTGGCTAACTGGCTAACTGGCTGACTGGCTGACTGGCTGGCTGACTGAGTGACTGACAAGCCGGTTTTTATTTTTAGCTGGCGCGTCGATTTATGGCCAAGGCTTGTTAAAACTCCATTTACATGGGGTGTGCTCTTGCTCTGCCTCTTGAACACGGTGCAATATGATGGGCTGCTGCTGCTGTAGTTGTTGTTGCCATCTGTAAAAGTAAAACTGCCCGCTACAACATTCACATTCAACACTCAGTCAAGTGAAATGCGACGCAGACGCCGCAGCCGCCGCTTACTTTTTTTTTTTCATATATATTTTTATACTCCGCCCCTCACTCTGCCACGCTCCGAGCATCGAGCGGCAGCCGGCGCGGCAACCTGAGCTCGGCTCGGCAGCAGGCAGCAGTCAGCCAGCTTCAGTTGGAGCTGTGTGAAAGCTGCGCCTCAGATGCGATTGTCAGTCGGCGCTGAGCTCCGTCGCTCAGTCTCAATCGGCAAGCAGACGCAGACGCAGGCGCAGCGGCAACGTCTTCAACTCTCAAGTTCAATTCCAAAGCCGAAGTCGAATTCGAATTCGAAGCAAGAGCGCGGCACGTGAAATGTTTAGCGAATGTTAACACAATGTTAATGCTATGCTAGGCCAAACTGTAAAGTAAGCAACATGGAATAAAAGCACACAAATACAAAATTAAATACGAATTCAAATACAAAATCAAATACAAAAACAAATACAAATTAATGGGGCCCATCAAGTGGGGCCAACCACTGTGAAGAAAACTTGCAACTGCGTTGGCGGCGAGGCTCGTTGTCGTTGTTTTTGTTGTTGTTGCTGCTGCTGCTGCAGCTCCTCGTTGTACTGTTATAGTGAAAATAGAAAGTGGTTCCTGTTTGTTGCCCGCGAGTTTTCATTTGCTTTACATAAAATGCAGTTTCGGCGGCACTAAATGATCGCGTGAGTGTGTGAGTGTGCCAGTGTGAGTGTGTATATCTGTGTGCTTTTATTATATATATAAAGTGTCATTTAAGTGCTGTTCAAGTTATGAGCATTAAGCCATTAAGCGACTGTCATTAATTATGGCTTGTTGTGGCTCTAATCTCTAAATAAACAAGAGAAATATATTTAAAAAGTTATTTAATTTAATATTTAATTAAAGCAGTTCATATATCAAAAATATTTTAAAACAAAAACTTGGTGCTTAGTTTGGATATTTACTATGGATGAAATGGATAATATTCGATGAATAATATAAATAAATCAAATAAATTAAATTCGATATTTATTAAAATATTTTAAAATGTGAATATATTGTTTTTTATGTTATGAATGATCACTAAAAGTAAAAATAAGACAAGGTCATCGAGAATATGCAACACCCTGTATAATATGCTGTGCAGATATTCTGAGAATGTTAATGTTAAATGCACAGACCGACTGTGACTGTTAACAGAGTCGCTATTCCATTTAGCTCATGCTAAAGTTGAACTGTTTGGCTGCATTGTTTACCCTTGTTCCCCTTTCTATTCTGCTACTTACAGAAAGAGACACCAAAAGATCAACAAACCCGAGAAGAAAGCAGTGAAGAACGCGAAGAGACGAATAGCAGCCGCAGCTTCAGCAGCAGCAGCAGCAGCAAAGATTCAAAACAAACAGTTTTGATCTTAACTGTCTATCAGAGATTCGGCACACAGAGATATATACATACTTGCAGGCTATATAGTCAGCGGATTTATATAGCACCAATCAATATGGGACACTATACGCGACACAGTTGCCTCTTGGCCTTAGTCTTGTGCCTGGCATTCAACACACAGGTAAGTGCCAAACAGCTGTCCGTCCGGGAAGAAAGTGTAAAAAGATGAATCTTACAAACGACAAGTTGAGAAAAAAAAGCAGATCTCTGTCCGATAGCCCAATCAATATGATTTCAATTCAATTAGGAAACACCAAACGCTATACAGTTAGAGTGGCCCACTTCCAAGTTGACAGCAAGCGAGCGCGCAAGTGAGAGAGCGAGAGAGCGATAGAGCGTGCGGCGTCTTTCATACATATGCAAACCAAGCTGTGTAGCGGATCTGCTCACTTTCGACGCGACGGACTACCGTTTATCAATATCCAATTCAATTCGAATGCAAATCAGTGCGAGTGTCCATTGTGTGGCATATTGATGGGTTGATCAAAAACTAAAAGAAAAACGCGCAGATGAGCTGTACGGCTAGCGGTATAATAGAGATCAATGCGCAAGCAGAGGCGGATGCAGAGGCAAGGAACGAATGAAGCACGGCAAAGCGCAAAGAAAAACAGCAAGTGCGCTGCAGTCGCACTGAACGGCACTTTGTGTGCTGTTGATCAATGTAATTCGAAGCAGCACCAAGATAGAAAACCGAGTTAGTGAGTGAGAGCGAGATAGCGAGAGCTTAGCTGAACAGCGGGGCAGCTCACAATTGCTAACGATAGCTTTCAAGAATGTGAAGCAGGCAAATGATTATCAATCAAAACAACAAATGACGAGCATAACATAGAGAGAGAGAGAGAGAAAGAGAATTAGAGTTCAGCTCAACAGTGGCGTAACTGGCCATTTAACAGCGTGCAAAATGTTAACTTAAACGGCAATCAATCAAAAGTACCAAGGGTCATAACAGTGGCGCTGTAAAAGGTTTAACAGCAATATGTTAGTCAGACAATATGTTAAACGGCAATCAATCAAAATAAGGAATGAACATAACAGAGAGAGCGCAGCTTCACACCGGCGCTGTTAAGCGTTTTACAGCGTGAACAATGTTAGCCAGCGCATTGGCAATCAATCAAAATAACGAATGACGACAATAAGAGAGAGCTTAGCTTAACAGTGACGTTGTTAGGCGGTTAAGATGTTAGATTTAACGTTAATTTATCAAAATTACGAATGGCCATAGGATTTGAAGTTATGTTTTGTAAAGCCAAGTTGGATGCGCTTTCCATTGAAATAGAAGACTTATATGAAAACGTATTTAGCCACACATATGCGAACATGTAAATCAATGCAAATTGCTTATTTATGCAGCCATTTAAGCTGCATCAATCACATGCACACGCAGATGGAAAGAAACAGAGAGAAATAGAGATAGAGAGAGAGAGAAAGACTTATGCAGAGCAAGTATCTCGCAGATACAATCGCGAGTCACGGAAAACTCCAGCTCTAGCTCCAAGTGCAACTGCAACTAACTGGCCAGCAGTTGGCGCTGCGTGTCTGTATCTGTATTGGGGCAGCGAAATTGCAGTTATGCTCTGATTTGTACCAGTTTTGACTTTCTTGTTTATAGCGCATTAATACATTAAGATTGCTATATTATTCATTTAACGCCAGATTTCTTCAGCTGCGAGTGAAACGCTTCAAACAGAATAGGGGGAAAAACTGCAGCCAACAAACAAATGCATATTGAGACGATATTAGAATGTATTTACGTGCAGTCAGCTTCGTATAAAAAGAGATGTTCAAGTTTAACTCAATTTTGATATATGACGCTTCTTTTATCTAGTTTTCATTTGCTTCTTTGTTATTCGTGGTCATTTCACTTTCAAAACCAGCTCACGACATCTCGGACGACAAAAGATATCCAAAAATGAGAAGAAAAAAAATCCACAGCGTCATCGTCTTGAACTTTCGATTTTCGTTGGGCTGAGCCACAGACACAGCGTTACATCCGCTTTCCGGGCATAGCCAGAAGAAAGAAAGAAAGAAGAAGAAGAAAGAAGAAAAAAAAACTATAAAATTATGAGCCAAATGTGAAACGGGAATGAAAAAGATACAGTGAAAAGAAAGCGACGCAATCGAGTTACCATGGGAAGAGGGAGGATGAGAGGCGACAGTGTAAGGGAGTAACGTGGCTGTCATGGCTTTTGCTTATGCAATAGGCCCTGCTTTCGGCTTAGGTAAACGTGCCTCGCTCCACTCGGCCATTCAATTTCAACATAAATAAATAAACTACGGCGCAATTTTCAACGCTCTGGCACGCTTCTTTCGAAAAAGACGCGCTTGTCGCTTGGATTTTGGATTTCGATTCGAATTGCATAAGGCGTCGCAAATTAAATGACAAAATGGGCAGCCAAGCATGCGCATCAGCTTTTCCGCTGACAGAGTTTTCAGATCTTTTGCAACACAATGAAATACCTTTCAGCTGAAATATCTGGAAACGAAAGAAATTCGCTATGGGGACTCGATAAGAAAGTAGAGCAGTCTGAGCTATGGGTTTACTGGGAATGGTTTCACTGTATAGCTAGGTTTACCTTGCCAAGATTTAGCTTGCAAATATTATTGATTTTCCTTCTCTGCTCTCCCTACGCAGCATCTTTCCGTGCATGGCGATGCATCACATATTGAATCGGCCGCACTGCCATTGGAACACAGATCTGGCTATGGACCGCCAGCGCCTGCACCCATCTATGGCGCACCACAGGGACCCCTGAGCACCGCTGGCGCTGGCCCCAGCAACGATCTGTCCGACGAGGCCTGGCCGCTGGCCAGCACCAACGACAGCCCGCAGATCAAGCATCTGCAGGTGCAGTGCGAGAAGACACACATGCGCGTGAACATTGAGTTCGACCGGCCCTTCTATGGCATGATCTTCTCGAAGGGCTTCTACAGCGAGTCGCACTGCGTGCACATGCAGCCGGGCACGGGCCATCTGAGCGCCACCTTTGAGATCTTCCTGAATAGCTGCGGCATGAGCAGCTCGGCGAATCACAATGCGGCTGGCTATGGTGCACCCACTCCATCGGGCAGCTACGTGGAGAACACAATCATTATTCAGTACGATCCCTATGTGCAGGAGGTTTGGGATCAGGCACGCAAACTGCGCTGCACCTGGTACGACTTCTACGAGAAGGCAGTCACCTTCCGCCCCTTCCAGGTGGACATGCTGCACGCCGTCACAGCTAACTTCCTAGGCGATAATCTTCAGTGCTGGATGCAGATTCAGGTGGGCAAGGGACCCTGGGCTTCCGAGGTATCCGGCATTGTGAAGATCGGACAAACCATGACCATGGTGCTGGCCATTAAGGATGACGAGAACAAGTTCGACATGCTCGTGCGCAACTGTGTCGCTCATGATGGCAAGCGTGCTCCCATTCAGCTGGTGGATCAAAATGGCTGCGTTGTCCGGCCCAAGATCATGAGCAAGTTCCAGAAGATTAAGAACTTTGGTCCCTCCGCGTCTGTGGTCAGCTTTGCCTACTTCCAAGCCTTCAAGTTCCCCGACTCGATGAACGTGCACTTCCAGTGCGTCATTCAGGTCTGCCGCTACAACTGCCCCGAGCCCAAGTGCGGACCCGGTCTGCCTGGTGGTGAGTACGGACTGCCACAGATCGGCGGCAATGCGCTCTCCGAGGAGTACGGTCCACCAGAGGCCTACGAACGCAATGACTTTGCCTTGGGTGGTCTGCCTCCAGCAGCTTATCCCGATCCACGCCATCCTGCCGATGCCAGCGGCGCCTACTCCGAGAATCAACCCGACGTTGTGCCCTCGCCTCAAGCCCAGACCTCAGCGGTGACCACAGCCGAGTCGGCGGGCAACAATGCTGGCAGCGGTCCAGCCAGCTCCCAGGCGCCACAGGCGCAGCCACAGCAGGGCAGCAACGAACTGGGTCTGCCGCCTCCACCACTGCCTGGCCAGCCTGGCCAATACAGCACCGTGAAGCGCAAGGATGAGCTGAGCGGTGGCAATCTCGTTTCCCTGGGTGGCCGTCCACGCTCCGTTGAGGGTCTGGATGATCTGCGCGGCGTGCGCCGGCGTCGCGACACAATGGAGATTGTGGTCAAGCCAAGAATCTACAAACGTAACGCACAGGAGATGACCGACGTGAACACGAGTCGCATCATTCAGGTGGTGGCACCTGGCGATGTCAACTTTGCGCTCAACAGCAATGCCAGCAACGAGACGGTGGTGATCCAATCGGCGCGCTCAGCCGATGCCGAGACCATTTGCATGTCTGTGCCCAGCTTTGTCGGTGGCTTGGTGATGCTGTTGCTCGTCCTGGCTGTGGCCTCTCTAGTCGCCGCCTTCCTCTTTGTGCGCGTGCGCCATTTCGATCGCAAGGGCGCGGGCATGGCCTATGTCAACTAAGTAGAAGGCACAACAAACACACACGACACACCACATACACCACACACACACACGCATACACACTAGGTATCCATGGCACCATCATTAGCACGGCGTGAATTGAAAACCAAATCAGTTTTATGTGCACCTCTATTCATTTCACACTTCTAATTTCTAACTTATTTATGCTGTCTCATGCTCTACAACATTTCCATAACTATTTATTATTATAACTTTAATTTGTTTTTGGCTATTTATTGAATTGTAATTTCGTATGGCAAAGATTCGCCTTATCTGCATGATTCTTTAGTTCTTGAACGATCGAAACGAATCGAAATAAACGAACATTGTGACGTAATTTTGCTTATTGTCAGATTTGTTAAGTTTCAGTTATACATAAATAATTTAAAAACAAAACAAGAAAAAAAAAACTATCTAAATTACGAGTTTAAATGGCACAGCGGATAAAAAACGAAAGAAAATAAAAAATCAAAGCTGAAAATCGTTAACAATAAGTTAATATAGCAGATGTATATATTAAATTATTTATTTATTACTTTATCTGATAGCTGCGAAATAATAAAAAGTTTACTTTTATTAAAACAAAAACGTGTCTATTCTTACTCTTGTTGGGATCTGCTGAATATATATCGGAGTTCATAAGAATGCAGAATTTATATACGCACATAGAGAACGTTGTGCATATTTTATGAAAATTTCAAAACTACTCTACTTATTTATTTACAAACACATAAATATTTACAATTCTCTCGTTTTACAAATTGCCAATTAAAATTCATTTATGCAAAAAGTCACTCTTAATAAAAACCGCCTGAGCCTTTGTTTTGTACAACAATTTGGGTTGAATAATGGACTATGAAATATGTTAACTATAGCGAATAGCACTCAAAAATTTAACAAATTTGAACAGTGGAACACATTTACGCTGCGCGTGCATCGTTTATTGTGGCAGGAACCTGAACCTCCAGTCCGTCCATGTCCTTGGTCAGTGTAATTTGGCAACCCAATCGGGAGGTGTCCGTTAGCTCGTATGCCAAATCCAGCATGTCCAATTCCTCATCTCCTGGCTTTTCCGGCAGCTTTTCATAGTCTGCCTCTTTGAATATTAGATGGCAAGTGGAACAGGTCAGTGTGCCTTCGCAGGCACCAAAGCCGTCCAGATCCACATTGTTGTTAACGACGACATCCAGTAGCGAGTCTCCCACCTTCCCGGAACTCTTTATTTTCTCGCCGTTAGCTCTGACGAAGGTCACATTCACACTATGTGAAAGACACAGAGAAGGAGAGAGAGGGAGAGAGAGAGAGTTAAACATTACAATTTCTTAGTTTTACATTGGGCGTGTTTGTTCATTAGATGCCACTTACACATCTTGTTGCCGCAGCGCCAGACCCAGCGAGAAAGTGCGCGTGGAATTTGTTGCTGCTCGAATTTCGTTGCTCAAGCAATTTCGGATGTAAGCGTTACGCAGCGATAATATCGCTGCATTTCTAATTCTGTTTATGACTAACATTTCGTTGTATGCTTTCAACAACTATCTAATCAGATAACACCAGGCAACCACGCCACTTGTAGGACAATATAGGCGACTTTATTACTACTTTACTTTATAATAACAGAAAATTTTAGTGGTACACGCAACAGCTCTCTGCGGTAAATACTCGAGGAAACTGATAGCTGACAGGTGGAGGCAATCATATGGTAAAGATAGAGCTGCCAGACGGTTTTTCGTTTTCAGTGTTGCCAAATCGTAAACTGTGGAGCCGCCAAAAACGGGCCTTTTATGCTATTATTGTTATATAAGCTCACAGTGAAGTTATATTTGATCTCTGTCATTACTCTAAAATATTATATGCTATTATAATAATAATATTGTTGATATTATTATTAGTATTTTTATTGGTTTCAAATATAAAAAATACCAAAAACTAAACTTGCACATCTGGCAGCCTCGACAACAGCTATTGGTAACATACTTGTTTACATTTTGTTAAAGCATGGCGAGTTTACATTTTTGGAATGAATTTGAATTAAAAAAACCTCCATTAGTCACCTTACAAGTTAAGGAAACTGGATTTGGTACGGTGTACTATATTGTGAAATTTTAAGATCCTTATATAATGAACCAATATACACACAGCAAAGAATGTCTATATGGCTATCAACCGTTACCTGCAACAACAATCCAGACCAGACTTCGTGGAGTTCAACAACACAGCAGCCTTGATAGGACGCCTAATGGCACGTCGTAAGAATTCTTTTCGCGGGATGCCAGGATTTCGTGCTGTTTGCAAACTAAATGCAGCGCTTTGCCGACTGCTCCGTCTTGACCTACCTCGCGATCTGGAACATTTTCGTGGAGCCTTGCCGGATGCTTGTGATGCGGAGCTTTCTGGCGATATGCCCACCCGAAACAGTTTGCAATTTGTCTTGGTGCGGTTGCTAGCCTTTTATAGTTTGCATGAACGCATTCGTGACTGCTGTCAGGCGGCTATAAAATACTTTGGGCAAATGATTCGCAGCAACTTCTTCATGGAGTTTCTGACCCTGTTAATTGCAGCTGTAGCTAAGATAAATAAGTTGAGCTTAGTGCAAGCGAACAATTGTGCCACATTGTATAACAAGCTGCAACCACAGTGTACCAAATTTCCACAAGTAGAAAAACATATTTTTCTTCCCCAAGACTGTAAATTGCCCACTCAGCTGCAGGTGATTAAAGAAATCCAGACAGCTACACCCGAGGAAGCAAGCGCTGCAGGTGTCCAACTCCTTAAACAGACACCTTCCCTGATTACGAAAGTGGAAAAGGCCAAGCAACAGCTGAAGGCAGATGTGGGCACCGTAGTTGCACGCGAAACATCAATAGCTCCGACAGAGACAGCTTTTCAGCTGAGTTCACTGGTCACCGTGGAAGATGTGAAGCACTTCATTGTGCGTGAATCCAAGGCACGCAAAAAGAATCCCGAGAACTGTGTAACGAAACCAATACAAAATCACGAATGGCTGGCGGCTAAAACGCTCTTCGAGCGCAAGCTGCAGGCCAGGGAACAAGCCAAAGCTTTGAATATATTTCGAAAATTTATTGGTAGTAAAATATAACACGAAGAAACGCACAAATCAATAAGTTATTTTGCACTTACAGACTAGAGACCATGCCCTCAGCCAGCTGCATACGCTTTAGTCCCACAGTATGCTGCTGCGAGTGCACATTGCTCTTCTGCAATGAGAGAAAAATTAGTTAATAGCAGACTTAAGTTATTTATTGATAGACTCTATTTACCTTAACAAACTTTTTAAAGTTCTGGCGACCGCTGTATTTGTTGTCAGTTGTGTTTGCTGCATCAGTTTGGTCTGCGGATCTAACGCTGATGCTCATGTTGCACATGCGCACCTGTATGCTATCCTTCAGGCTGGCCAGCCATTTAACATGATCCAGCTTCTCCTTATCATCCTCGTCCAGCTCTTGCTTTATAGCCTCTGCATCCGCATCTATTTGTAACTCTGGTTTCACTTCCGGCTTGACATCCTCATGTAGCCCGCTACATGATAGCCAGCCGCTGACATTTACTTTACGGGGCTGCTCGCTTGGCTTGCGCACAATGTACTTGGATTTCGGTTTTGATTCATTTACAAATGGTTCTGTGCTAACTGAATCCTCATCATGTTCGCTCGCAGCTTTGCTATGTTCTTGCTGATCACGTCCTTGGAAATTGAACATATTTTCATTATCAGACTCATTGTCTGAGCCGACGCGCGTTTGCTTACGCTTCCTGCCGTCGCCAAACTGGAAAAGGTTTTCATCATCGTCGCTGTCACTTTCGCTTATTAGCTTCAGGCACAGACGTTTGCGTTTTTGAGATGCAGGTGGAGCAAAGTTTTGACTTGACGCCTGACTCTGTGACTTTTCCAGAAAATTTCTCACACTAATCGTGCCTTTTTTATTGATCTTTGGGCTAGGTGCAGCTTGTTTCGCCAATGTACTCTCGGACGCCGTGCTGGTCTCAGTCGGCTGGATTGGTGCCTGTTCCACAGGTGCTGAGGCCTGGGATTTGAATTGAAAAAGTTCCTCATCGTCTTCGCTATCACTCCGAACTATTTGCAATGTAGCCTTTTTTTCAGCCGGCTTGCCACGTGCAGATCTTCTAGGCGAGATCTCCGGTTTTTCCGTCTCCGCTTCGATTTGCTGCAGCGGATGGGCACGAGTTGAACGTCTAGATGGAGTTGTAGCTGGCTCTGTTGCATTCTTTTGATTGGTGTCTACTGGTGGGATATTAACACTACTATTTAAGCTAGGCTCCAACGAAGATTTTGATTTCTTTTTTGATTGGTCGTCATCAGAGGAATCCAAAATACTTTCAATTTTACGCTTCGAATTATTCTCAATTACGGTCTTAGCCTTCTTGTTTGGCACCTCGACCACTTCGACTTGAATGTCCTCATCCGAGGAGGAGTCCAAGTAGATGGCATTATTTCGTTTCTTAGGCATCATCCTGGTTGGTTTTTTGACTGGTTCCGGCTTTGGCTCCGATGACTGCTTCTCACTTCCAGTTCTTAGCGCATATATTTGTGACTTCTGGGATTCGGGGACGAAGAACTCGGATGCTTTGTCTGCGGCTCGTTGTGTTTGACTGCGTTCTGTATTTGGAACCAAGATCGAAGAATCCATAGACTCGGTTGTAGCCAATGAGTTCTCAGTTATTTTGTACGACGGATTACAAAACTTTTCCAGGGAGCAGTGTAAAATGGCTAGGCCGATTTCGTAATCGGGTACAGGTCGGAGTCCAGCTTGTTCCAAAATACCTGGAAGAAAAGATTCACTAGATTATAATACATTTGAATTTATATTTGTCAAGTAAACTTACCTTGTACGCTGAAAATAGTTTCTGTCGCTTGAGACTGAGTAGAGGACACATATTGTATGACTATAACATTTGGTTTAGTTAGAAACGGCTTTCGTACGCCAGAGTTCAGGTCTTTGCATGCGCCGCTTGCCTTCTGGACGACGGTACCATACATGTCGAGGTGCTTTCGATTCATAAAGACAAAGGTTTTTCCAGCAAAGAGTTTGGTGCGTTCAGGACGCCACTTGATGCTGGGCATATCTTCTGGCTGTTTGGGCATATAATCTTCAGGCTTTGGCAAGTCATTGGGCACATGAACACGCTTAGCTAACTTCACTAACTCTCGCCAGAAATCAATTCGGACAATGGGTTTATTGTCTAGTAGTGCATGGAGCAGCTTTACTGTGATTGTAACCGTATCCATGGTTAAGTGCGAGCACTCATCCGTCCAAGATGGCACGATAGCCCCATTTAATGATTTTATGAGGTTATTCAGTTCGTGTATTTCAGTGGCGTTCAGCGCGGATGCAGTGGTCAGCAATTTAAGCTGCGACAACTTCCACACGTTCTTCAAAGCGCCAAAGCGAATTCTGTCTCCAATATGAAGTGGAGTTGGCGTCTTTGCACTCATCTTTTTGCTGCGCTCAATGTCGTCGTTTATGAATGTACCGTACCTGGAGCCTAGATCTTCCACAGTCAGCGATCCGCCATTTGAAGGACAAATCTTTACATGAGTGCGACTTATACTGAGGTCCTCACTCAGAATCACGTCTGTTGACAAGCGACCGATTGTGTAAGTCGCTTTGGATGGAATCAAAAGGATTTTTTCCATATCTACAATGCATCTGTTGTCAATATATATTCGATGAGTGTATTTTTAATAGTCTACAAACCATTCTCTACTTTCGTCAGGACAAACATAATTTCAACAATTTAAACCGGCAACACAATTTCACAAAGACCGCTAACAGAAACATCTGTTGGAATGCTGTTAAGTTTGAAGATAACAGAATAATGTTCATGTTAATAATGATAATCAAACCATACTCATGTTAGTGATACGTTTACAGTCGAATGGCAAACCGGTGAACTGCATTCGGTTTACTATAGTACGGATTTGTTTATTGTTTTCATTTAGTGAATCAATACTTTGAAAAGTCAATGTGCATACAGAAATAGTTAAAAATGGCACATTTAACGGGCACACGTGTGAGCATGTTCAACGAGTCGTTCCTCAACGACAATGAGCACGATTCAAATGCCGTGCTCATGGAGTTGGACAAGGGGCTGCGCAGCGCAAAGCAAGGCATACAATGTGAAGCGATCGTGCGGTTTCCTCGACTTTTTGAGAAATATCCCTTTCCCATCCTTATAAACTCGTCTTTCATCAAATTGGCCGAGTTCTTTGTGAGCGGCTCGAATCTTCTGCGCTTCTGGGTGCTGCGTGTGTGTCAGCAGAGTGAGAACCATCTGGACAAGATTCTCAACATTGACAATTTTGTGCGTCGTATTTTTATGGTGATGCACTCAAACGATCCAGTGGCGCGTGCCCTACTCCTTCGCACTCTAGGCGCCGTGTCCCGTGTAATACCAGAGAAGCCACAGGTGCATCATGCGATACGTCGGGCGCTCGACAGCCACGACACCGTGGAAGTGGAGGCGGCTATCTATGCGAGCAGCTGTTTCGCCGCCCAATCGAGCTCCTTTGCCATCAGCATGTGCGCAAAGATCTCCGATATGATTGAGTCACTGCAGGTGCCGGTGCCGATGAAGCTGCTGCTTATTCCGGTGCTCCGCCACATGCACCACGATGCGAATACAGCGGCCTTGGTCAGCAAGCTGTGTCTGGAGCTATTGCCCAAGTACCCCGCCCAAAGCTTTGTAGTGGCCATCATCAATACACTCACTCAATTGTCGGCGCGTACGCTGGTGGGCGTGCCCGGGCAGCTCAACGTGTTGCTCGATTTCATGCAGGATTTGCGTACGCCGGTGCGAATCCAAGTACTTCGGTCCTTCAATGAACTGGCCGACAAGCAGAGCGTCAACGCCTGGCCCAAGCTTGCCATTGGTGCTCTAATCAACAAATTCAATCTCTGCACAAATGGAGCGGAACAGTTTCTCTTCCTCTCAATACTCCTGAAGCTGAGTGAGTGTCCGCTTACCTGCCAGCATTTATTGTGTGAGCATCGTGACGCCTTGCTGCGGCTTTGCAATGAGTGCATCAGCAAATTGGATGATTATACCACAGCCACGCAGGCAATGGCTGTGCTGGCTGCCTTGCTGGCCTTCGGTCTCAAGAAACAGGTGGCACAGGTGGACGACATCCTGGATATGGTAAACCTGCATATGGAGGGTCTGCTCTTCTGTACGGCCCGTCGGGCGGAGTTCAATCGGGATCTGCGCCGTGTGCTGACGTATGGCATACGCATTACCCAAGCCAATGCGGATTTTGGCGCCGACTTCGTCGAGATGGTGACCAATACGCTGGGGGACAATGTAAACTATCCGCCCAATAATCTGCAGCTCATTTGCGAAGCGGCTGTGGGACTCTGTGAGCACTTCCAGCTGCGCAAGTATGCATTCTCCACAGCAGAAGGTCTGGAGGATGACGCCGCCATGGAAACGAACGAACCTGCACCACCTAAGGTAATCCTCTTTCATATATTCAAGTAATAAATATAAAAATAATGTATTTTCGAGTTGCAGCCGAATCCAATGCTCGCCCGCCTGCCGCTTATTCTGTACAAACTCAACAAACTGGTGGACAGCGAGGAGCAGCCGGAGCAGTTGCTGCGCACAGTGGAAATACTTAGCGCGTTGGTGTGCCAAACGACCATGGGATGCTATCTGCCCCAGGAGGTGATACACTGCTTCGAGAAGTGCATCGCTCGCGTCAACTGTTGGACTCTCTATCGCATTGCTCGCACGGCTAGCCGCTATGGGCATCACTACGTGGCGGCGCACATCTACACGAAAGTCTCACAGATTGTGATTAGTGATCACATGCACTACTTCTTGGTCGCGCTGGCTCAGATCTCGCAGGCCGAATGCATACTTAACTATGGCCTAGAATATGCCTACATGCGGGACAATTATGCGCCCACGGAAGCCCCGGAGCCACTGTTGCCGTTGATGAGGCGCTTGGAGGCGGCGAGCAATCTATATCAGCAGGCGCTGGCCAGCATGCGTGCCTGCTCCTCGCCCCAACATCCATGTAGCTTCCAACTGGAGTATCTGAAGCTGCGCGCACAGTTCCTACAGACTCTGCATCTGGCTGTGACGGTGAAGAATGCGCAGGTGATTGTGCCTCCTCCGGCGATTGCGGGCAGCCTGGCCCAGAATTCACGTGATTATTTACAAAAATTTGGACACGTTACGAATCAGTTGCGCAAACTGGTCAAGTCGCTGAAGGCTTGCGAGGAGACATATGCGCGCCTCTATAAGTCGTCATTCGATGCGGATAATGTGACGTTGGAGTTTCTTGAGGTCGCCGAATTCCAGTGCGCGCTCTTCGCTCATATCATCGAATCGATTTGTTATGCTACGCCGCCGGAACCACCTGTCTTCCTGACCACCGGCAATCATCCGGAGACCCGCTTCTTTGCAGCGAGCTGCCAGCGAATGGAGCAAATGCAGAAGAACCTGCCACAGGAACCGCCCAATGCGAAAACCATTAGCAACAGGCATTTAGACGTAATCATCGCCCTGATTGAAATCATAACGAAGACGCCGCTCTGCTTGCCGCGTTACTTCTTCCAGATACTGCAATCCACACAGATCAAGCTGTCGGTTAGCCCGCAGCCTCGCAGTGCCACAGAGCCGGTCATTGTGCAGTCGGGCAGCAATTTGGTCATCAAGGTGGAGGGCGTGCTGCAACACTTTAGCAAGCAGCAGAAACACTTCCGACGCGTCGACTCAGTGCAACTGAGTCTGACATCGCAACTGCTGACACCACGCCCTGGCAACGAGCTGGTTAAGTCGCCCAACAACGACACAGTCACGCTCAATCAAATTGTGAAGCCACAACGTGACTTCCTCTCTGGTAGCTTCTTGCTGCCCATCTCCAGTGGCGGCCAGTTTCAGGTGACATTGGAAACATTTGTTGTGGATGAGCATGGCATAACTTGGTGCACGGGTCCGAAGAGCTCAATGGTAGTGCGAGTGTTGGACGATCCAACGAAGCCAGCTACAGCGCCGGTGGCCAGCACTTCTCAAGCCTCAAGCCAGGCTCGGCGCTATTAAAACATATAAATAAAAGATAATTACAATAAAGGCACATTTGAAATATGCATTCGAATTCGGCGGTTCACTTGAACAATCGGGCAGCAATGCATTGGGCTCAAGTGGCATCGCGTCGCTGCTTTTGTGTGAATGGCAAAGCAGCTGTTCCACACTAGCAATCGTGCTCTTCACAGTGAACTTTTCACGTTAGTCGTTGTAATAAACAATGTAAAGAAATATCTTAGGAAAATTTGTAATTTATTTTATGCAAGAAATGCGGGTGTGTATCAACGCTGGTCAGCTAGCTCGCACTAAATGGAGTTTATTGGCAGTAAAGGCAACAGTTTGTCTTTGATATTTGATACCTCATAAAAGAGCTGCCTACAGCCAGCTAGCTAGCGAGCGAGCGAACGAGCAAGTGGGTTTTATGCTGCGATTGTGAATTTTAATTAAAATCAATTAGGCGCTCACACAAAAAGTAACGCACGCAGAGAGAACACACCGTTCAAATTTCAGACTATCATAGCACAAACAGACAGTTGATCGAATTCCGCGCTTAACCTGTGGTGCACACACCACAATCCATGGACATAATTGCTCTAAGTGGAAGCAAGAGCAGCGGCAACAACAGCAGCAGCAGCGGCGGTGGCATCAGAGCAGCAGCTCCACTAGCATGGCACAATTTACGCTGTGAGTAGACAAGCTGGGCTCTTTCAGCACAGAGTCCACCACGGGGCGAGTGGGCGACGGCGAAGGCGACGGCACCGATAGCGATCGCTGTTGCTGTTGCCGGGGCCTACCTAGGAGGGTGCGTTTATATATCTATTTGTATTACGTATATGTATGTATGAACATATATAGAGACAACTTTGTTAATCTACTTACTGAAGTCGTGCTATACGACGCGCGTAATATTATGCAAGTGAAATGGCAGCCGTCGCCTACTAATACATAATGATCGACACACACACACACTCACACATTTTAAATTAATTATTACATATCTTTCGGTTACTGGGTGCCTGCCGCCCTTAGCTACAATAAACACAATGCTCCACCAAACAACGATATCATTACACGCGTCGACTGCGATTGTGAGCATGTGCCGCTGTGCTCGGTCAATGATGTCCAGCTAAGGTTTTTAGTGCCAGATGATTTGACGGAGGTAAGTATGCACACCTGTTAAGGAACATACTCATTCAAATTGTGATCCCTTCAAGGTTCGCACGCTGTGCCAAGAATGGTTTCCAATCGATTATCCACTGTCATGGTACGAGGATATTACCTCAAGCTCGCGCTTCTTTGCGCTAGCGGCTGTTTATAATCTGGCCATAATTGGTTTAATTGTTGCTGAAATCAAACCGTATCGAAATGTTAATAAGGAGGTAATAGCCAATATCAGTGATAGTGATGAGTTTTACACGAGGCTGAGCGGTTTTCCCATGCAGGACAAAGGCATATTGCCGGACTCGATGGGTCGCACCGCTGACGTGGGCTACATATTATCGCTGGGTGTTCATCGCTCGCATCGTCGGAATGGCATCGGTTCGCTGCTACTGGACGCACTGATGAACCATTTGACGACAGTAGAAAGACATGCGGTGAAGGCAATCTTCCTGCACACGCTGACCACAAATCAACCTGCCATATTTTTCTACGAGAAGAGAAGGTAACCCACCTCCATTAACCCACATTGTCCGTAGATAATGGCCATGTATTGCTATTGGTTTTACGTGTCTTTAGCCAATTAACGGTCATTCCTTTTTTTTTTTTTTGCTTGCAGATTCACGTTACATTCGTTCCTGCCCTACTATTATAATATACGAGGCAAGGGCAAGGACGGCTTTACGTATGTGACCTACATAAATGGCGGTCATCCACCTTGGACATTATTATATCCTTTTATCAAATTCCTCTACTGTATTATAGCTTTTATATTCTTGTTCACTGTTTCTTTACACTTTTGGTTATCTTAACTCCTGCCACACAGATCACTTCAAGCACTACGCTTCCAAGCTTCGTCACACTGGTAGCCTTTGCGTGTGGATGGCATCCCGCGTGCAGCAAATGGTACGTTGGTTCTACCACAAGCTGCTAACACGCTTCAATGTTATTGAATGAGCCAAACGGACTGCAACCACTACCCCAATCATTCTTCCGGCACCCGAGAGAACTGTGTATGATAAGTGTGCTCTCACCTATGCATGTAACATCTGTCTAGTATCTTGAAGCATCGTCCTGTTGATACCGTACGCAACATTCACTTCTAATGTTAGGCGAGCCAAATCATTTCGTTTTATATATACAAATCAAGGAACAAACTATGTTGAAAGATGTATAAAGCTCTTATATACGTGTGTAATAACGTTTTTAAATATGTATATGTTCACCGCTGTAAATAGTCGTATCATCTTTTATTTCAAATGCTGTACAAAATATCTATAGCGCAAGTGATTTCATACCTTTTTCTATATATCTATATTATTTTTTTTTAATTTAATCTATTTAATGTTCTTTGTAGGTTTATATCTTCTACGCACAAGACAGTCATTTTAGTTAGTTTAGCAAAAAAGATAAAAGGCAAACACAAAACGAAAATACAAAGATGCTCATGTTTTAACGCTTTATTTATAAAAGTGCACACAAATAGCTTTGAGAACTGAATAACGAAACGAATAATATATGCATAAATCCTACAAGCTTATTATTATATTTTTTTTTAATATGTTTTCTTTATAGTATTTTGTAAAAGTATTTTAACGCAAAATGTTTCGCAGTCGATTCATGTTATATTAGACGCAATTTACTTAGCGAATTGTCATATTTTTAAATAAAAGAACTTGTAAAGTTACACAGATAAGCAAATGATTGTGTCATATTTTCTTCAGGAATTTTTAGGATTAGATAATATTGATAAGTTTCGGTGAACTAGATAATTCACCTCAAATTAGTCACCTGTTATCTTGATATAAATGGCAAGGGCGCGAGAAATTTAAAAAATGGTGGACTTAAAAATATCAAAAAAGTAAACCCAAAAATACCATGCAACAAGTGAGTACTAAATTTGGTATTTGTTGGCTTACGCATCTGGCAACGTTATACAGATGATTGTAAATGTTATCGGCTGTTGTTTGTGATCGATATATGCGATAGTTTTCGGTTCGTGTTTTATTGTGAACTTCAGAGTAGGTGAGCAGCCGAACGTCAATTCAGTAGCATAAATTGGTTGAAACATTATTACAAAAATGTTCTCAAGAGCCGCACTCCTTACAGGTAAGCATAGAAATTGCAAAAGAATTTAATTCAAGTGTATAAATTGTGGCTTATTTTTACAAATCGTTTGTCAATATATCCAAGCGACGACCGTGAAAATTGTTACGGCACCGCGAATTCTGCCATCGTGGTTTATGTAATCACGGGCACAATTCGCACAAGGAATGTCAAAATTGATTTTTTTGGCAAGTGATCAAATGCAAACTGTTACTAATCCTGTTTCGCTTTTTTTTTTATAGCCCAGCGCCCATTGACTTTGGTGGCTAGCCGTACGGCAGCTGCTGCCGCTGCTCAGCCAGCGGGCGGAGCTGTTGAGCGCCGTCAGCGTCCCGAACATCCCGGCAAGGTGCGTTTGGGCTTTATTCCAGAGGAATGGTTCCAGTTCTTTTATAACAAGACTGGTGTCACCGGCCCCTACACATTTGGCGTGGGTTTGATCACCTATCTCTGCTCCAAGGAAATCTACGTCATGGAGCACGAATACTACAGCGGTCTGTCGCTTGGTATCATGGCTATTGTTGCTGTCAAGAAACTGGGTCCCCTTATCGCCAAATGGGCTGATGGTGAAATCGACGTAAGTTTGTGTCAACCTGATATTAAATGGAATATATATTAAATCGCTTCATCTGTAGAAAATTGAAGCCGAATGGAAGGAGGGTCGTGAGGCTGAGCTCAAGGTTCTCGCCGATGCCATTGAAGCCGAGAAGAAGGAGCAATGGCGCGCTGATGGTGCCCTCTTGTTGATGGAAGCCAAGAAGGAGAACATTGCCCTCCAGCTTGAGGCTGCATTCCGTGAACGTACCATGAACGTCTACTCTGAGGTCAAGCGCCGCTTGGACTACCAGGTTGAGTGCCGTCATGTTGAGCGTCGTCTCAGCCAGAAGCATATGGTCAACTGGATTGTGTCCAGCGTGCTGTCCAGCATCTCGCCCCAGCAGGAGAAGGAGACGCTGAACAAGTGCATTGGTGACTTGACTGCTTTGGCTCTCCGTGTCAAGAGCGCCTAAACGACTCGACTTTTAGTTTGTTAATTTGTAAAATTATACAGAAATGCGAGACGCAGCAACACAAATCGGAAATGTACCACAAAATGTAGAAAACATTGAATACAATATCTGTCTTGGAATGAAATGCTGCTTCACCAACTGGCTGTGTTTTGCCTTCAAGGGGTGTCATCGAGGAGCATCGAAGTACATTTATTGCAGACCATCTTAATAATTACACAAACACACACACTATCAGTCTTCATCTGATCTAACATCTAATTCGCGTTCATCTTTCAGTCGCTCCTCAAACTCATTAACCAAATCTTGATGGCGATCCTCCTGCAGTGTCTGCACACAGTATTCGAATGCTGTGACCACGCAGAGGGGCTTCTCGCCGTCGTAGAAGCCGGTGTCCCGCCGCAGATAGCTCACATGATTGGAAAGCAGCCAACGTTCCAGCTGTGTGAAACAGGCGCACTGCCAGGGATTGCCCTCAATGGTCATACGCTTCAGATTGCCGAGCATGCCATTCAGATCCGGTAGAAAGGTTAGCTTGTTGTTGTCGATGAGCAAATCCGAGAGGCTGCTGAAGCTGTCCAGCACCAATGGGCTAATGTGGGTCAGCTCGTTGTGTCCCAAGTGCAGTTTCTGCAGACGCCGCATTGGCGCAAACATGCGCACATCCAGGCTGGAAAGCTCGTTGTTGCCCAGCGACAGATACTCCACAAAGGGCAGCGAGGAGAAGGACAGCGCATGCAAACGCTTCAAGCTGTTGGCATTTAGATTCAGTTTACGCATGCGCGGCAGAGTTCGATTGCCGAATGCCTGCTCGTGCAGGTACTCGATGTTGTTGTGCGACAGGTCGAGCGTGTCCAGTTCCTCGAGTGCTGCAAAGGTGTGCGCCTTGATCTCTATAATATCGTTGGACTGCAAATACAGCTTGCGCAACGAGCTCAGACCCGTAAACTGTCCGGCGTTCAGGCTGACAATGCTATTGTGTGATATGTCCAGCACCTGAAGTCTGTCCAGCGATCGGAACTGGTTGTCAAAGAGCAGCCGTATGTTGTTGTTGGATAAATCGAGTTGCTGCAGCGCAATCACGCCAGAGCCAAAGATCTGTGGGCGCAGTGCATCCAGTTCATTGTGCGAGAGATTTAGGACGCGCAGCTTAGCCAAGGGCTGAAAGGTGTCCTTGCCTATGGTCCGTAGAACATTCTCCGTCAGCTGCAGCTCGAGCAATCCAGCTAATCCTCTGAAGTTAGTCGCATCTAGCTGTAAGCGTTAGAAAGTCGTTTAGGAAATTGAGCTTTACTGAGAAAATTCGCTAGCTGATTAGCTAACTGATTTTTATACCCTGAACCCATTTTCAATGGGAAATCAGGGTATAATGGTTTTGTTGAAATGTATGTAACAGGGAGAAGGAGGCGTGGCAGACCCCACAAAGTATATATATTCTTGATCAGGGCGACGAGCTGAGTTGATTTGGCCCTGTCCGTCTGTCTGTCCGTCTGTCCGTCTGTCCGTCCGTCCGTCTGTCCGTCTGTCCGTCTGTCCGTATGTATGAACGCGTCGATTTCAGAAGATATAAGAGCTAGAGACTTCAAACTTTTTTTAAAATGTCCGTAATTACAGCGCGCATATCAAGTTTATCATTAAAAATCGATAACTCATCTCGATCTTTTTTTATCGATAAAAAACCTTATCGAAACCCAGTTATAAAATTATATCTTCTACACCTTTATTGCTAGAGTCTCAAAATTTTTAATGTATGTTTATATGCAATTTATACAATTTCGGTTTTTGTTAAAATTTACCCCCCACCTCTAAATTCACCCCCCTCACCCTCACTTTTGTAAAAAGCGTATTTCAAATACTAGAGACTTGTGCTTTGGCAATTACATGCATATTCATGTTATAATCATATTCTGAAAGTTTCATGAAGATCGTACGTCCATAAAAAAAGTTATTAAACAATTAACTTCTCATAGTAAGCGCACACTGCAGCCCATGCGTGTTTATGCGTGGTTGCTTGTGTGTGTATGTGTGTGTGTATGTGTGTGTGTATGTGTGTGTGTGTATGCGTTTGTGTATGTATGCGTGTGTGTGTGTAAGTGTGTCTGTATGCGTGTGTGTGTATATATGCCTGTGTGTGCGTACGTGCGTGTGTGTGTGTGTGTGCGTATTACTTGTGTAAGCTGAAAGTTGCGAAAAATTATTGAAATATCTATTGCTCCAAGGGTTCAGGGGATCTCGTAGTCGAGCAGTCTCGACTAGAGCTTTCTTACTTGTTAATTATTACTTGTATTCTATGATCTGAGCAAATGAATCGCTTATTAATTGTCTAATATTGCGTACAGCAAACTGTTTATCATTGTATGTATACATTATACTATTTTAACCCATTATTACTGATACTTAGTCAAAGCTAAATAGGTTTGGTGCATCGTAAACCGAATCGATAGCAATATTTAGTTTTGATTTGGCCTAGAGTATTTAAGAATATTTTTTAAATTCGGCATATTCTTCTCATATGGAATAAGATTAAGAAAAATCGTGCGTAGTAGAAAACGAATATACATATGTATAGTATTTAGACTAGATTACAATCTACGTCCGCTCAGCTCAATTCATAATTTAAGTCGTATATGCTGAGCAGAAGTCGCAGTTGCCTCGGCAGATTTTTAATTTTTTTTGCTTACTCACCTGGCTCAGCTGGTTATCGTTCAGGTTGAGCTGCTGCAGCTGAGGACAAAGAGCGAAGCTGAAGCTTGTCAATTGATTGTGGCTGAGCTGCAGTTGCTGCAGCAGCGGCATGTGTGGCAGCTCGAGTCGCTGCAGCGAATTGTGTGAGAAATTTGCATAAATCAATTTGCGTAGGTTGCCGAAGAGTTCCTTTGTCAGGCTGGGCAGCTCATTGTGGCTGGCGTCGAGCAGCTGCAGCGATGAGTTGGCAGCAAAGTGCGCGGCCAATAGCTGCTCCAGAGCGCAGCCGCTGATATTCAGCTGCTCCAGTTGGGACAGCCAGGAGAAGCCGCGATGCTCCAGCTGCAGCTGTGGCACATGCGATAGATCCAAGTCCAACAGCCCAGAGAGACTTAGCCCGCTGGCAGCTGCAAAACAGATTGAGCTGAGCTGCATTTGTGGTAGCTACGAACCTAACTCACCTATGCCCATGCTCAGCTCTGTGTGCTCATTTCTAATGCTCAGCCTGTGCAGGTTGTCTTTGGGAAAGTTCCTAACGTTCTTCAGCTCCTTCAGGCTGCTCAGCTCACGACACTCGAAGCTGCGCCAGCCTTGAGCCTCGCATATCTGACTCAGCACCTGGGAAAGGCCGCAGCACAGCAGCCAGAGGACTGGACCTAGGCGCAAAGGTTGCGCATTCAACAACATTCCTGATCGAATTCTCAACTGTGACTAACACGCAGCCGTTGATAAGAACTAACAAGGCTAAAGCAAGTTTTGCTGCCAACAGAAGCAGAAGCAGCAGCAGCAGCAGTAGCAGCTGATCCGGTTCTGTAGGTGACGGAAGAGCTGCTTCACAGACGAGTGGCAATTGGAGTGGCTTTCAATAAACCAAATGCTCACCCGAGAAATTCCCGCTAAAGGAAAGATGACACACCCAATTCTATAGATAAATAGCATCTGGCTAGAACTCTATTTAATAAGCTTAGCGTTGTTTACAATTGGATTTTAGTATTCATATGGTAAATATTTTGGATAATTACGATTATTGTGCTCTTTAAGTAGAATATATATATGTAGTATATGTAGCTATAATATTTGTAGCATCAAGTGGTTCGTATACTATAATACAGTTAAATAAACCACAAAGAAAATAATTACAGAATGTACCAAAGCTTAGACTACAAATTAAAAAACATAATTAACAATTAATTAAGTAATTAAGTACTAGACATAGAGCAGAAATTTCCATTAATATTATTTTTTCTTTTTATATATATAATTTATAAACTTGTTGCATATATTTATTTTGTACACAAAGATAAATGTAGGCAATTTTCTTATCAGCTAGAATATTATATATGTAAATTTAATTGAATCTTTAAGTTGTATTCCTTTTACTGGTTTGGTAAGACTGCAAAACAATTTGAGAGTATATCAATATATATTTGTGTGTATATATGATATATATTTATTTTAATATATTTTAAACTGTTCTCTAATCATATTTGAATGAATTTGTAGCTTAAGCGTCTTTTGACACTTGTGCGTTTTATATAATCCTCCTCCTTTAGCTTTGGGGCTGCTTGCAGTGTAGGGTATCTAAATCAGACTATAGTTACGGTTGGGTTTGTCATCTTGTTGCTGTTGTACAACGGCTGATAATGGGCGCCCGGCAACGCGCTCTTCGCTCCGCTCTGGCAGCCATTCAGAAAGTGCGCCTTGACGCCATTTTGTTGTTGTGATGGCGGCGTCGTCGTCGTCGCCGCTGCCTTGTGACAGCCGCCATTTTGTTGCGGCAAGGGCTCACCAATCAGTGTTATACGCACCGGCTTATGGGCCACTGCAGGCGCAACTGTCTCAGCTCCATCCCAGCCGATGGAGGCGCGACGTGGATAAGCCGCGGCGGCCAGCTGCTGATTGTAGTTGGTCAATGTGGTGGAAATAATCGTGTGACGTCGTGTCTGGCTAAGAGAACGGCAATTGTTGTTTTTGTTATTGTTGTTGTTGTTGCTTTGATTGGTGCATGATTGTGCCTGCTGCGGCTGCTGCTGCTGTGACTGTGGCTGTGGCTGTGGCTGGTGACGAATTATCGTGGTGGCTGCCAGCGTGGAGTCGTTGCAATGCAAGTGGAGCGTCGGAAAGTGCGTGGTATAACTGGTATATTCAGGCTTACTTCTGTGAACGGTACAGATAAGGCAAAGATTAGTCAGTTACTGATTTGTTGCATACTTTGAGTCAGACAACTACTTTGTTAATTGTTAGTTTACAGCTTTACCTGGGAAGTCTAATTAATTGCCGCATGCAATCGAAATTGTTCACAAACAGTGTTAAGTGTCAGGCAACAAATTTATATAAAGGCTTACGGCTAACAGTACTTAGAGCTAGTTTAATTTTGATTTAAAATTAAAGTTAGTTTAACCAGCAAACAAAAGTTTAAATGGCGGCTCGAACTTTGTAGTATTTTAGTATTTTTTCTAGTATTTTGTACATTCTTACATTTTTGTAAGTCAAATGCGAGGCAAAGGTTCAAACTTAAAATAGACCAAAATCTCGAATCTTAAATGTAACATAACGTTATGCAAATATTAGGGTTAGGAACTCCATTTGAAAAGTTCGAGTGCCGTGTTGGTCTTTGTTTAGTATTAAATATAGTTAAAGCTAATCATACACTAGTCTACAAGTAATCGAATTCAGTTTTAGTATTCAGTTTAGTATTAAATACAGTTAAAGCTCTGCTTAGTTACTCGCTACGCGCGAGTCCTTATTCAGGTGCAAGTATTACAGTTATCAAGACAGTTATAGCTTAGGTGTAGTATACATAGTAGATTAATTGCGCAGAGCACTATAATGGCTAAAATGAAATCACAAAATAGTACCTGTTGCTCCCCAAACTGCAGTCTATATGCATATGGATACACATATAGATGGATAGATAGATAGAGGCAGCATAGTGGGATGATATAGGTATATATATAGATACGTATATAGATATGTATATATGCATATTAAGAGTGGTTAATCAGTTGTATTAGGTATGTAGTTTGCGAATAGTTAGATAATGGGCACAAGCTACAAAAATTAAGTGAGTGCAACAGCAACTGTTGCTGTTGCTACTGCTGCTGCTGCTGCTATTGCTGTTGTTGCTGTTGGCTGCTACTTGTTGCAAGCTGGCCAAATTGGGCCGCTGCCATTACAATTTGTGGCCATTAGCGTCAAGAGGCAGCAACTGATTTGCATGTTGCCGCAAGCCGAAAAACTCAGCGTTGCATGAAAAGCAGCTGACAGCCGCAAGCAGCAGCAGCAGCAGCAGCAGCCGCAGCAATTTGTTTTAGTTTAGTTGCAACAAAATACAAGGTACAAAATAAAAGTAATTTAAAATGTAAAATTTGAAAATGAAGAAAATTTTCAGAATAAATCAAATCGCTGATGAATGTTTGCCTACCTGGACAAACCCTCCGCACCAATGGCAAGTGGACGTGTCTGTGAAAGTGGAATTGGAAATGAATTCAATAGCGTTCGGTTAGTCAATGTTGTGCATACACACACACACAAAGAAAGAGAGAGAGAGAGAGAGATATGATCGAGATGGAACTGATGCACTTACCCGCTCCGTTTGGGTGGCCATGCTAATGCGTTCCTTGTTGGCCTGATCTCCCTCTGTGGCCTGTCGCTTCTCCGCCTCCAGCTGCTCGATGAGATCTCGCTGCAGGCGTATGGTGCGATCACGATCATCCACTTGACCCTGTTCAAAGATACACACACACGCACACACATACACAGAAGTATGTGTGTTGTGGCAATTGTTAGTTTTGTGCTTGAGCTCAAGCAAAGGCCACTAAATTAGATATTCATGTTCACAAACTAAGCCAGAGAGTGTGTGTTTCTTTCAAGACATTCACAAAAAAGAGTTGCATAAATACGGAGTATACATTATATCCATCAACGTACACAGCCAAGCTCCAAATTCCGAACCAAAAAAACGTTTTTTTTTTTTTTTTTGTTTTTAAAATTGCTAAATTGCATACTATTCCAATTGCCAAGCATTCCAGCCAAGTTTTTTATTTCGCTTTGGAATTTATTGCCCAGTTAAGTTAACTTTTATGTTCAGCTAAGCTCAAAATAAAACATAATTATACAGGTTTGCAATTGATTTCAAAAGCTGTTTCTAGTTACAATTGTGTTTCGAATTCCAGTGGACCGCTTTTGTATGGTATGGGATGTTTTGAAATGGAAAAGGGAATCTTTTGGGATATATTGCTCATATGATACCATCTTGAAATTTATTATCAATGTCTAAGTCTGATATGTTTTTATTGCTTCTTTTCTATTCATATGAGGCTTCTATAGATCCAGTATATAACTAATACAGCTGCAGTATTCCAGTCTCTTTAGATAGCTCTAATTATAATTTCTACTTCATTTTCATTTTGTTCCAGTTCATTGCTTATCGGATTTTACTATAAAGTATTGTTATTTCTTTAAACTTTCTTTTCGGATTTCATATAAATAAACCCATAAGCATTTAGTGAATATTTTGGCTTCATTCTCAATTCATTTCAAAAAATATTATCTTAGTTTTTCCTATAGAAGAAATGGACGTTATCTCAACAATTTTAAATTTCCAAATGGTTAATTTTAAGTGCTCCCTAGAAACAGCTTCTTTTCTTTATATAAATTTCCCAAAATTCGGAATTTAGAGCAAGGCAAATAGACAACAGAAGAACAGCTAAGAATGTGTATTTTTGTTTCAGTATAATTGAACTATCTAGATATAGCTAGTTTTATAAGAGTAAGTGTAAGAGTTGGAGTAAAAGTAAGAGTATTTGAGAGTGCGTGTTTGAATTTTGTACTGATAGCAAATATACAAGATATATATATATATATATATATATATGTATTGGTATATAAGATTTGTGGATTATAGATAACTATTTATAGTAAGCATTAAGTTTGTATGTTTTTTTTGTCTTCTTTTGTATGTGACATGCCAGAGTGGAAACATTTATATAAAAATTAAACAACAGCAATTTGATACTATATTGAGTTAAGAGAGAACGCATTTAAATTGGATTTATCCTGTTCAGTGACTGCTTCGTATATATGTACTTAGATACTTGATAAGTTGATAAGAAAGCAAATAGGTGAGCTTTGGATACTCTCAGACTGAGTTGGTTTTTGTTGTGGTACGAGCAAACGAAAGGCAAAAGAACGTGCAAATACCTGAAGGTAAACCACCTGTCTACGTAGATCCGATAGCTCCTGCAGTGGGTCCTCCGTGGTGGACGAGGTGAGGCTGGCCAGGTCGATGTCATTCAGCTGCTTGCTATCCAGCCCACAGGCGGCAAACAGTTGCACATTGTCATTCTCGAATGGGTTTAGCGTCTCCGTCTGTGGGGCAGAGTAGAGAGAGAATTGGGGAAATGAATAAGCAAGCATTTCCAATGCAAAGTTAATGAGCTAAGGAAATTGATGTGGAAAATCAAAATCAAAAAAAGAAAATGGAAATGAAAACCTACCCGCTTGCAGTCAGATTCAGCATCCTGTGCAGGTGTGTGTGTGGATGTTTGATGAGTGTGAGTGTGTGTGCGTGTGCAAAAGAAAATTGAAAATGGAAATGGAAAATGAAAATGAATGCAAACGCCAAGGCTGAGTCACCCACCTCCTGAAGTATGCGACGTAGGCGCAGCAGCTGCTTCTTGAACTGCAGCACATCCTGAATCATGGCATTCCTGAAGGATTTGTCATACAACATCAGATCGTCCGATGAGCTGTGCAGCTCCGCGTTGCCCGCCAGACCACCTGCTGCACGTCTCGAACCGGAGGCAGAATTTCCACCCAGCGGGTGGTGGTGCTGCTGCTGCTGTTGCTGGCGTCGCTGCAAGCTGGACGTGGACGAGGCGGTGGAGGCGCGCGAGGCGGCGGTGCTGCGTTTGCGACTGGAGGCGCCGCTGTGCGTGGAGCGCAAACTGTTGTCCGAGTCGTTGCCGGTTAGCTGCTGATCCTGCAGCCGGGAGCGGTTAAGCAGGCGCGTGGCACGAGCAGGCAGCTTGGCGCTGTCGAAGGAGAAGCAAATGGAGCAAAGATTAGCCAAAGCTGTTAAGTGGAGCAACTAAACGGAACCTGAGATATGTGGCATTGGCAGTGGGCGCACTGCTGGGCAGGAAGTGGAATTGCGGGCTGTGGCTGTGGCTGTGGGTGTGGGTGTGGTGCTTGATGCCCAGGGGCGAACTGTTGCGCTGCAGGCTGGACTGCAGGAATCGATTCTCCGAGGTCTTGAGGTCCGTGCGCACCCTACGCACGCCGCTGGGCGAGGATGTGGCTGCACTGCTGGACATGCTGATGCGACTGGCCGCATCGATGTTTCGACTTTTCGCATTTGTTGTTGTCAGGACGACGATGACGATGACACAATCGGGACATGCGCAGTGCAACACGAACAGCTGAGAGCGGAGAGTTCAAAGGTGTGGAGAGTGGGGGATGACGGATGGCGGACGGAGTGTGGAGAGTGGAGAGTGGAGAATAGGCTGTTCCTTAAGGCAACCACATCGTTGCTCATATCAATTATTTCGCTTTAATTAAAAGCAAACGCAATGAAAGTGAAATGGCATTCATTGATTGCAGCGGCTGATGGCGGCAGTTGGGTTAGGAGGCGTGGCACGCAGGGAGCTGGTGCGGGCATCAATGGGCAATTAAGTGCGCCAGCCACATGCTGGGAAGCTGCTGCTGCTGCTGCTGCTGCTGCTGCTGCTGCTGCTGCTGCTGCTGCTGCTGCTGCTGCTCTGCCAGCCAAAATAAGTTACGTGGAGCTGGAAATATGTGGCGGCTGCTGCTGTTGCTGGTGAAAGTCAACTGTTGCGTGTTGCAGCTGGCATTTAGGGTAGAGGAAGGGGAGGAGGCGGGCGGCGGCGTTGGCGTAGACAAGTCTTACACATGCGCGCTTGTTAAACATTTCACGGCATAATTTATACAAGCGATTCAATACAAAACAAATGCCAATAAATACTCAATGAAAAGCAGCTCACATTTGTTGGTCAGGGGCAGGGGGGGCAGAGCGAAAGAAAGACACAGAGGGAGCCCCCAAAATGTGTTTAAGGTCGATAAATCTACACTTGAAGCATAATTTTAATGCTCTTGTAATTTTGAGTTCACAGCTAACTAACGCCACTCTGATGGCCAATTGGCACGACAGAAATATATACAGACACACATATATATACACACATCAATATATATGTTTGTATATATATATACCATATCGCAGCGAGCCATAAAACAAATTGTTTGCATTTTTATTTGACTTTCACAGCGCGCAAAGCGAACTTAATTATTTTGAATGCAAAAAAAACAAAACAAATGGCAAAAGTGCTACGTAATTGTCCAAGAAAATGGGAACAAAATTCACTTAAAGTTGGCAGAAAAAAACAACAACAACATAAACTTAAAAAAAAACTTAGCAAAGCGAAAAACATTTTAGTTAATCTTCATCAAACATTTGACTTAATGGCTTTTCCATTTTCAGCTGAAGAAGAGTTTCGACTTGACATTTTGCCAAAAAGTAGAAGAAGAGATGAAGTTAAATTGTGGTAAACATACTTTCAGGTTTATGATCCCTTTAATTTGAATATAATGACCTTCTAATGTCGAAAAGAAGAACTGAAGAAAGCCGAAAGCAGGTCAAGAAGAGAAAGAGCAACCAAAGACAATTTGAGAAGGATCAATTAGCGGAGAGCTGAACTTAAGAACATATATATAGAGTATATAAGTATGTCTACAAGTAGGGTATATGTTTATGGGGTATGTCTTATAAGAATTTCTTATACGTATTTCCTGCAAGACTTTATTCTACGTATTTCCTCTAAGTCTTCACGTCACTTCCCTTTACTTCACTGCACTACACTGACCCCCACTAGGCCTGAGCGACTGAAGAAATGCTGTGGCTGCTGCCCTTTATATAGGGCGTCTTTCACTCAACCACCTAGGCGTTCTCAAATGTTGTGCCCGATGTCAGTCGTTGCAGTCGAGCCTTAAGTGACCAATGGGAGCACTCAAGCATTCTAGCTTCGTATTACTCAAACATTAATACCGAACGAGTACTCCTGCATACACATAGACAACTGAAATGATCTACTGTAGTGCTTAGTCGTCACTTGCTCTTTTGAGGCAGAAAGACTGAGAGGCAGAGAGAGAGAGAGAGAGAGAGAGAGACAGATATACAGACAGTATGTCTATGCTTGCTCATAAATGTATATGCTTGACAAGCCTAAATGCTGATATGCTCAATAGCTTATGTGCATTAATATGGTAGACCCCATATATATATTCTTGATCAGGGCGACTAGTTGAGTCGATTTAGCTCTGTCTATATGTCATTCTGTTCGTCTGTTTGTCACCTTGCTCCCTCTGCTTTGATATCCTTCCCTTCTTCTCTTACCCTTTCTCTCTCTCTCTCCTATGTCTCTTCCCTCTCTCTATTTCTCTTTCTCTCTCTCTCTCTCTCTCTGCTCTCCCTCTCTCCCTCTCCATCTACTTATTATCTACCTGTTTTTTCTCCCCCTAATTCTATTTTTCCCCTTTGTTTGCCACCCACTCGCTTCTCCCTTTCCTAGGCACTCTCTCCATTTCTATTCCTATCTCTTTAATAATATGAAATGTTATTTCCCTCTGCTACAGGTAGTATATTTGCATACATATTGCTGCCGTTGGCGCAGACCCACATTTAGTCTAGGTAGCTTTCATACATATGCAAATTTCAAAGAGAAGTCAATACAAACATTCATAATTTCGCACGCTAACTGGATCGGGTTGTGGGTAGCATATACATGGTATATAGTCTGCAGTCTATATGCACATAAATATAACTGCCTTATATGGTAGTTGGGCATGCAGAAATCAACTGTGAAAAAGAAGTCTGAAATCAAAACAATGCCGAGCACTTTGCACAACTGCACCGGAAATTTCAAGAGTGGATATATTTATGTGAATATATATGAGTGGAGGTATGTGTGTGTGTGTGTTTGTGAGTGTGCGTGTGCCATGTGGCACAACAAAACGTTCGTCATTGCAACATCGTCAGCTAATGGAGTTGGCAATTGGCGCAGCCAGCGCCGAGTCATGGAGTCGCCTAGACTTAACTGTGTGTGGAGTCTCCTATTTAGTCGAGGCACATGCCGGAGGCAAGTGTCGCCGTTGGGGTCGTTGTGGCAGTTGCCGCAGCCGCAGCCGTAGCCGCAGCCGTAGCCGCAGCCGCAGTTGTCATTGCAACTGCCAGTGCCACTGCCACCGCCACTGCAACCGTTAACCGACAACTGCCAGCGCTGACAAGCAAAAAGAAAAACAGTTTACAGAGGCGTCGACAAGCGCTTCATGTGCTTCATGTGGAGCCTAACGGCACTTATCAATTTGTTTGGGGAAACGTCATTTGTCATAGGCGCGGAAGTGCAGCAAATGTCGACACCGGGCAGGGAACGACGGCGTGTGGCAGCCACAAAGGGCGCTTCATTAGAGACGCTACAAAGATGGGAGATAGCAGATTGCCAACTGCCAACTGGCGACTGGTAATAACCATAACAAAATCACAGCATACACAACATTCTCACACACACACACACACATACACACAAATACATAGGCAGTCTGGGAGTCAAGGTAAATCTGAGCTGAGAATCCGAATCTGAATCCGAATCCGGTGTTGTTGTATGTATCTTGTAGCTTGTGGCTTGTATCTTGTGGCATGCCAGCGAAGCTTTGTCTGCGCAGTAAAAGATGATGATGATGATGAGGCGATGAGGCTGGCTGGCGATGATCAACGCCGACTGCCAGGTAGACAGAGGAAGAGGCGGCGCTGACGACAGACAGCCAAACTGTGAGAGAGTGAGGCGAAGAGACGTACAAACAGACGAGCAGACAAACGGACTAACAGACAAACAGACAGATAGGTAGGTAGGCAGGTAAGTTGCTTGATTGGTAGCTGCATAGGTACACTGCAAGAAAAAGCCAGCTTCTTTATGAGCTGCAGCAAAGGAAATATTTAATGAGAGCACCGCTGACTTGAAGAGCCTAAAGTCAGGCAAAGAGTGAGTTAAAAAAATCGTTTTATACTCGCAGAGTATTTCTCTCAGTGCAGCTGCATCCGCAGCTCTATCTGTATTTGCACTCAATGGCATTTTGTGGTCAACGGTCTCACATTCTGTTGAATTATGCATGTCCAAAGCTGAAGGCTCTAAGTACGCACAGTCAGCGCACTTAGAAGCCCCTCGGCTCAGCTCAGCCCAGCTGGCCAACTGGCTGGCCAGAACGTTCGCAGCTCAGGGCCAACTTGCCACAAAAGGCAGCAACTGCCACTGCAGCAATGGCAACGGCAACAGGAACTGCCACTGCTGCAGCAACTGAACTTGAAGCGTCAACGGCTTTAGGTGGCCATAAACGTGGCTCAGTTTACTTGGCCAACACTTGCAGCTCTTCTTTCTTTCTCTCTTTCATTTTGTCGTAATTATTTATGGGCATCAAATTCCAGCGAATTTGTCGAAAATGCATTTGCATGTGACACACTTTTCTACCTGCTATTGTTTTTCCTATTGTTTTCCGCTGCATATCTCAAATTACGCAAATAACAACAAAAAACAACAACAACAACAACAATAAAGGGGGCGGAAACTGACACCCGCTTGGCCAGGCTGTAACCACTTGGCCAACGACTTGAATGGCGGCTAGCTACCAAATATAAGTTTTTGTGGTTTCGTCTTACAGCCAGAGTCGCTTCATCATTTTGCATAATTTGGCTTTGTCTTTTTCAAGAGTTCGTTCGTTGGTCAACGGGTATATCGGTTGGGGTTACGTAGTGAATGGAAAATTTGCTGAGAGCGGGTATGAGACACTATGGGGTTAGGCACTGAAGAGAGGGAACTGGAGCTAATATAAAGGTATGGCTACATATATAAGAATGTTCATCGATTTACTTGAAGAAACTATAGAAACTTGATTTTTATCTATATATTTGTATTTGTAATTATTTGTCAACATCTTTAAAGCTATCAATAGCTCTTCACCTACCTAAAAATATATGCCTGAAGCTATACATATCTTCATATATCTTAAGAAAGACATAGAGAGATTCAGATAGGATATAGAGAGCTATGGAGAAATGAAAAAGAACTAATATATGTATATGTATGAATTTACATAACAAGACTAATATATACAATCTATACATATAGATTGTACATATTAGTCTTGTTACATCTCTCCATACCTATCTATATCTCTCTATATCTTTCATCATATCGATACCTGCTATAGCTTCCACATTCCCACACCCAACAAACGGTTAATTTGATTTACTTATGCGCCCCTTTCTGATCGTTCAATAGGATAGACGCACACAAATGAGACTCATCAATAAGCATCAAGATCTATCAGTAATAAATGTAATTTAATATCCTCTTTCAATCTCTGATCGTACGCTGAGCGAGTATTAGGCAGGCAGTCAGACACGTTCACATTTTTTTCTTTATTTATATTTTTTCTAATTTGTTATTATTATTTTTTTTTTCTACTCACATTTTATACAAACTCGTTGCCAGTTTGTTTTTATTTTGATTTTTTTTTATAAATAATTTTTGTTGTTTTTATTTAATATTTGTATTTTTAGTTTCTGCACAAAACTCACACAAAAAGCATTGACACTTGTGCCTGCGGCGCGTCTTTATAATAAATGTTGCCCGATTTTTATTAGCATTTGTTGTTGCTCCAGCTGTTATTGTTGTTGTTGTTGCTGTTGGTGTTGGTGTCGGCTTTGTATTTGTGGCATGGAAAAGGCAACAGTGCGTATCGGCAGCGGCGTTCGCGAGGGCGGTCTATTCGGTCACTGGCTCTAGTTTTAGTTATATTTTCTATTTTCTTTATTTTCTTAATTTTTACTTCTATTTCTATATTTTTTTTGTTTTGTTTGTTTGGTAATTAAAAACGCAATTAAGCCGACTCCCACGCAGCTTAGGTTTTTTGCACAAGAGCGCGCACTGATTAGCTCTTATGTGCTCGCTCACTTTAATCTAAGCTCAACAATTTTGTATTTCGTCAATTGATTCAGCGAAGTTGCCGCAGCTAACCGCATCGAACCGTTGCGAACGCTTTGAGATCTTGTTTAATACTGGAGTTTCGTTTGGAGTTGCTAGCGCAGCGAGCGCCAAGGCTGACGGAATGTGGGAAACGGAACGGCACAGTGGAGCGAGTTTTGAAGCAAAATCGTAAAAATTTGTGCTGCGAAATTCTCGATGAAGCATTATTGTTTAAGGTTACCTAGGTAAGATTATGTGACTATTTTTGAATATCAAGGAATTTAAACGAAGTTTTAAATTATTTATAGAGAAAAAAGTAATCTTAAGTATTGAAAAATATTCATAAGACTCATCAGTATGATATATAGATCTGAAATGCAGCTCAATGCTTTCTCAGACTTGTGAGAGCTGCCAGCTATTTTATCACCAAATCCTGATCTTTAGCTTCCGACAAATGCTTTAAATGTCTAGAGCATATAAAATATTTCTCTATGGCTTATATAAATCAGTATTTGATCTAAGATCTTTACAATTGCGAGTCTCTGAATCTCTCTGAATCTAAGCTCAGTTTTTTCTCCAATATATTTATATATATATATTAAATATATTCGAATTGTTCAATTGAAAATTTCAATGCATATCTATAGACCTGTACTTATACTACTCTTAATGCTTGAGCAGAGCCCCTCTTATTTTAACCTCAACTCTTTTCCTACGTATCTAACTTTACCTTGACATGCCCTACTTGTTCTTAATTTGAATATTTAACCTGCTGACATTTGCTCAATTTCTTGCTAATCAATACTCATTACAATTTATTAAATCAATTATGGGCTGTGTTATTCACATTTCCCTGTCGATTTGATGCCACTGTGCGCATTCCAAGCTTCGATTCCAGAACGTTTCAGCGGCCATGCCACAAGAATGTTTTGCCTACGCTATTGTTGCAATGAAAGCTCTACGCGTGTATCTTTGCCGTTAGAATAGAAAGCTTTCTAGCATTACAAGATAGCCACAATCAAGTCGTAATAAAGATCACATCGCCACAGACAGCTGCAATTGGCAGTAGTTTGGCAGCAAGTTATTCAGCAGTTTTCCTGCTGCTGCTGCTGCTGCTGTGACTCATGGCATTTAGCGAGTGGGTTACACACGTTGTGGGCCCAAGGTTAAGCCATGTGTGTGTGTGGGTTGTATGTGCTTTGCATATGAATTATGTTTGCTCAAAACGATTAAAAGATTTACAGATTTCAGCTGCGCAGCTGTGGGCCGCCGTCTCAGCTTGCCCATTTTCTTTAGCAATTTATGGGGACATTCACCAATACATTATGAAAGGCAATCCCCAAGCGCATGCGTATGGAACCACGATCAGCAGCAACAACAACTACAACAGCAGCTCAGCCAGCGGCATTTTGCAGTTATTTTTCGCTGCTTTTCCAGCGAGCAGGTCGAAACAGGTTCACATGGGCAGACAATTGATTTTTCCTTTGCCAATGCAATAAAGCCGCAACAGAAGAGAGCAAGAGAGAGAGAGAGAGGGAGAACGAGAGAGAAAACACACATTTTAACTTTGGCTGGAACCAGAAACAACTTTTCGTTGTCGCTGACGTTGTCGTGCCGTTGCCGGTTGTTGTTGTCGTTGTTGCTGTTGTTGTGGTTGTCGTTGCCATGACAAAAGAATGCGGCACTCGCCATCAAGTCTCAGTCCAAAGTCAAAATGTTATCTTAACTACGACCACGATTTGGCCAGGCCAGGCCAGGCGAGAGCCAGACCCCGACCAGGCACAGGCGCTCGTTGCCAAATGCCAAGTGCCGTTGCCTCTTGGCTCTGTCTTTGGCTTTGGCTTTGACGCTGTCGTTGGCCAAAAGCCCCGTCGCGTCGCTTCACCAGCTCTCGTCCCTCCCGCCCCCGCCCCCGCACCCGCCCACTAACCACATTTCGTGGTAGCAGGCGCTTAAGCATTGCAATTGAGAGCGCCAATTGGTAACACGGCAATGGGAACGACCTTTTGGCCAACTCAAATAACAACAACTCTTAACTCTCAACCTGTCCCATTGTCTGTCCGTCAGTCCAGTGTTTTGGGCTAATTTCAATTTTCAGTCCACCAAATAAATGCCTTGCGGCATAGACCTGCAATTCCAATGCGCTGAGCTGGCCAAGCTGCACTGACTGCAACTATTAACCCCACAAAGGCGGAGGGAATGGAAATGGATTGATGGAGAAATGATGAGAGAAGTAGAGCTATAGAGTTTTTGCTGCCCATAAAGTACTAAGGTACAGAGGAAATGAGATAAAGAGATAATGATAATTGAAGAGAGACAGATTACGAAAAGAAGAGAATGATGTGAAAAGGAAATGAAAGAGAGAAAGATTTAGATTGACAAGAGAGAGATGAGAGAGATATAGAGAGCTAGATGGAGAGGGAGAGGGAAAGGGAGAGAGTGAAAAATTATGAGAGAAAAGTCAGTCATACAAATCATATAGAGGAAACTGAGCTAAACAGAGGAAACCGCGAGAAAAGCTGAGCAATGGATAATATATATAGATTAATAGGTATAGAAAAGTATAAGTTAGGCAAAGCAGAGAAATAGAGAACGAGAGACACAGAGACAAACAGTTTATAAGGTAAGTACCAGGGAAATGCTATAACATATTTATAATGCGAACATTTATGATGTCATTAGCCAGAGACAAAGTGACTTCAATACAGGAATATCAAGGAAACACTATAGCATATGCATATGTATGTAATGCGTAAATTTCAGATGCTATGGATGCTAAATGAAATAACATTTCATATAAATACACGAATTTTCTATCAAAATTTTACACTTGAGAACACTTGAAAAAACCAAAGCCCGAGCAACTTGAAGGGAATACAGAAAATCCAAATGCTTTCTAGTGTTAAAGTGCAGACAAGATGCTGCCTGCCTGAGTGAAAAAGAGAGCAAGAGCGAGATAGAGAGGGAGAAAGGGAAGGTGTGACAAAGCAGGCAAAGAGTGCAGTTTGTGTCTGATTGATTAGGCAGAAGTTGAATTACTTTCGAGTGGCTGGGAGTGGTGCCATGGAGATGGGAATGGGAATGGGTATGGGAATGGAAAAGGGATTGCAATGGCTGGCCATGTGCCAGCGGAGCTAATAAAAAGCACACAAATCAAAGGAAAAGTCAAAGGCGGGCCGCTGCATTTGGGCATATTGGCAGCGTGCCCGATGGCCAGGCGCAGTCAATTCAATTAGTTGGATAATGGAAAACTGTTTTGGGTGGGGCCAGCGCTGGGAAAGGTGTGGACTCACCTGATGCGCTCCCTGGGAGTGGGTGCGCTGCGCTGCATGCGGGCGCGCAGCAGAGAGTTCAGCTCCTTCATGACATCGCTGCCCTGGCAGTCCAGCTGGGCGAGCAGCTCCGCCTCGGTCTCGGCCTGGTCGGCCTCGAGGTCGGCGCTCAGCTTGTGCAAGTCGGGGCTGCTGCGGCTGCGCACCGAGGCGGTGCGATCTATGGAGTCCACGCTGCTGTTCATATCGAAGTCCATCATCAAGTCATCCGAGCAAATGGACTCGCAGGGCGACAACGTGTCCAGGGACTCGGCGCTCTTGAGCACCGCCCGCCGCACGGCCGCTGGAGTGCGCAGACTCAGCTCAATGGCCTGCTGCAGAGCTGTGCGCGCCTTCGACAGGCTCTTGAGCGAACGCAACGATCCGGTTGTGTGGGTCTCCATGAGGGTCGGCGTGTCGGTGGCATGCTCCGGTGCCTCGCTGTTGCACAGCAGCGCTGGCTGATCGGCGATCTCGTCGTCGATCAGATTGCCGCAATCGGAGCCCAGCGACAGCGAGTGGGAGGCGTGCGTGGGCGTGCCTGGCGAGACGGGACTGTGACTGGCCGGATCCAGCTCCAGCTCCAGCACCGGCGATATATCATCAATGTCCACATCGTTAACCTTCTGCTGTAGCTCGGCATTGAGCTTGTGCTTCTTGAGCTTGCCGCCCGCCTCCTCCGACTCCTCGGTGCTGCTGACCAGGCTGTCCGTGGGCGAAGTCTCGTCGTCCAGCAGCAAGCAGCTGCTGCTGGCCAGCGCCAGCTCCGCGAACTTGGACTCATTGAGCGCATTGTTAAAGGAGCGTGGACGCTCGCTGGGCAGCCGCACCACAATCGCCTCACGATTGTCCACAATGTGCATGTTGAGCATGTGATCCCCGCCAGCTGCGCAGCTGGGCTTGGGTGCCGTTTCCGTCAGTGAAGCTGGAGTGTGAAAGAGTTGATGTGAGTTGAGAGATTTACGAAATCAGAAATAGGAAAGAAGAGGAAGGAGAGCAGGAGGCGGATATCACTGGAGGAGCAGCTAGGATTGGATCTGGTTTTAGACCAGCTGGATTACTTACACAGCGTGCTGAATTGCATCTCCGTATTGATGAGACTCAGGTCATCTAGACCCAGGGACATGTCCTCCTCCTTGTCCTCGGACTTGAGAGGCGCCTGGGTGTCGCTGCTGGTGATGCTCATGCTGCTGCAGTCTTTGGCTGCCAGAGATTCGCCCGCCTGGCAGCGCCAGGACATGGAGGACGTTTGGCTATGGCTCAGCTGTTTGGCACTCTTCTCGGAGGTGGACGAGTCGAGGTAGAGCTTCTCCTCGTCCACGCTCTCGCTGTCATCGGAGCCACTGGCCTTGGGCTGGGGCTTGGCCGGTGTCTCCGGCGTTTGGCTCGTATTGGGCCCCTGCTCCGTTGTGGCCTGCCTGCGCTCGTAGCTCTCGCGGCTGAGCACCGTGTTGGAGCGCACAAGACCGACCAGCGGCAATGGCGTGGCCTGACTGTTGTCCGTGGGCAGCTTGGGCAGCGCCAGGGTCTCCACGAAGGAGTTGGACTCACTCGAGGGCGGATCATCCACGTCGCGCACCTCGAATGTGTGCCGGCCACTCATCACCATCTGCAGGTTGCGTGGCCGGCTGCGGCTGCGCTTCGAGCTGGACGCACTGCCGCCGGAGCTGCTGCCCGAGTCGACGGCCATGTCCATGCTGGCGATGCCCGAGTCGGCGCTGATCTCACGGCTGCCCGAGAAGCCGCGACGGGTCGAGTTGTTGGTCAGCTGCTTGACACTCTTCTGGTCCAGCTGCCGGCTGCTGGGCTGTGCGTGTATGGAGGTGAGCGGATGCTGCCTGGAAGAGCTGGACACATCCTTGGCTCGGGCGCCGGTCGAGTGCGCCGGCACCGGGCTCTGCACGCTGCTGCTGGGCGTAGTGGGCGTGGTTGCGCTCAGGCTTATGGCCACTGGATACTCCGGTCGCGGCAGGCTGACCGTCTGCAAGGTGAACTTGGCAAAGCTGGCCGGCACAGCTCGAGGCGTGGGTCGAACGCTGCAAGGAGGAGGCTTTAGTTTAGTTAAGTCCAAAGATTTCGTATAGCCAGCTACTCACATCACATTGGCGTGCATATTGGCCAGATTGTTGTAGTTGTAGCGCGGCCGAGCGTTGGCTGCGGCGCTTGCCTCATCCGGAATCTCGCCAAAGAACTGACGGCGCTGATACTCGATGGTTGTGTTCTGGTTCAGATTGAACGTCAGCGTCTTTGGCTGCGCTATTTTCGGCTCCCCATCGATTGCGCGGCCCGCGTGTGCGCTCTTGGAGCGACGTTTCACTGTGGCGCATGCAGATGGCAGGAGAATGGAGGATGGAGGAGAAGCGAGAAGTGAGACGTGGGCATTGAGAGATGTGTCAAAGAGTTGCCTCCACTCGCAACGCGTGTTGCAGCTGAGTCACGGAATGTGTGTGACGAGAGGCTGGGGCTAATATTGGCAATATTATACATTTGTTCCTGATCAATGGATTCTCTCTATCTAGCAGACCTACATATATACTTATATCTCCTTAAAAGTCACAAGTTGTAGTTTAGTTTCCTCAATACATCAATCAACTTCTATATTCATCAATCAATCAATCATTTAAGCATTTATTCAATCAATCAATCACTACTCATTAACTACTCAGTTAATCAGTCGGCCAATGGGTAAATCAGTCAATCATCTTCTATACCACCAGTCAATCTCATTCAATTAATCAATCACTCAGTTACTCAGTTTATCAGTCAGTCAACGAGTCAGTTAGTCAGTCGCTTTCTATAGGCTAGTCAATCAATCATTCAATCAATAATTTAAGTAGTCACTCTATCAATTATCCACTCAGTTTATCAGTCAATCAATTAGTCAACCAGTCCATCAGCTTCTATAGGCCAGTCAATTTGTCAGTCATTCAACTGGTCATTCAATCAATCAACCACTCAGTTTATCAATAAGTTTGTTTATCAATTAACCAAATTGTTGCATACTCAATGCATCAATCAGTCAATCAATGAATTGCATCAATCAGCTATCCAAGTATTTCATTAGCCAGCCTTTAACAGCTTTCACCCATATTTCTGACACGTTTTCACCCAATCATCAATCAGCATAGTTTCTCATTTTTATCATAGGTATTCGGTAAGTGTATTTGAACTTCGGTGATTCTACTTCTACTTACGATTGCTCACGAGCACGTTGCCGTTGTTGTTGCCATTGCCGTTGTTGTTGCCGTTGCTGTTGTTGTTGTTGTTGCAGTTGTTGTTCTGAGCATTCGCTGTTGCCTCGTCGGTGTCCTCGCTGCCACTGGTTGTGTTTGTTGTCGCCGTGAGGCTGGCAGAGGCGGGGCGTGGCACGGCGCCGCGATAGCCAAACCGTTTGCCAGCCGCACCTGTGCGATTGGACGCGTTTGTCTTTTGGGCCGCCACGCCCACTTTCTCAAACTGAACAGGCGCTGCGGTGGGTGGAAATGAAAAGCAGTTAAGTATGGCTGGCATGTTGACCTGGTATTAGGCAGCGTCCTAATTGGCTCGAATTAAAAAGCCATAACACTTGCCAAGGTGCGCTCATTACTCACCTGCATTGCCATTGTCGTCCTTTGTGTCTGTCTGTGGTGTCTCCCCACCGCCTCCGCCTCCGCCCCCGCTGCTGCCCTCGAGCAGTTTCTTGAACTTTTTGGGCGTACCATTGAGCTTCTTGCGAAAGCCAAAGGACATGGCGGTGCCTTTGGTGTGCGGCACTGGCGGCTGCTCGCCCAGCTCCAATTGGCCACCGCCGTTGCCATTGTGGCGCCGGCCAGCCTTGCCCCCGTGCTTCTTGCTCTCCGTTTGGCCCTGTGGGCGGATGAGAAAGCAGGTTAGGCAAGCGATTAGTGAAAGAAAAACGGGTCAATAGATGAGCACAGCAGACAAAGCCTGCCGCACAATGCAAATGGAAGAAGCACAGGATGGGGTCGTGTGGGTGGGTGGGTGTGTGGGTGGTGCACAGTGGCTGAGTGTGTGTGCATGCGAATCTAATGACTCATACAAAGCTATCTACAATATTGAACAAGAGCACAAAGTGTGGCTGGCGTGTGGCACAGTGTTTACCATGATGACTGCCTCGACTTCCGCGTCAACTGCTGCGTCCTCCTCTGCTGTGGCTCTGCTCGAATTATCTCTCTGCTGTTGCTGTTGCTGCTGCTGCTGCTGCTGCTGCTGCTGCTCTGCCTCTGTCTCTGTCGCTGCTAGTGCGTTGTCATCGATGTCAAAGTGTTCTTTGTGCAAATTCTTGAGCTGTTGCTGCGCTGTTGGCTCGGCTGCTGGCTCCTCGTGTGCGGCTAATGTGACGACGACGAGGTTGTCGCATTCATCCATGTTGCACGTCGGCTGCCGCGGCACTCGCTGATGCCGCGAGTCTCTCCTGCTGCGTTTTGGCGCTACTTGAATACCGAACGTTCGCCGTTTTGATGTGTGCCACGGAGACCCAAGCGAATCTTGCAACTTCAACTGTCAACTGCGCTGCGCTCAAATCAATGTTCATCACACGGCCGCGCACCAAATTACGCCATTTATAATTGCACTTGAGGCAGGTACACAACTACAGTGACAGCTACGCTCACAGTCACAGTCGCAGTCACTCTCTCGCTCTCTCTCTCTCACACACAGATACACATATACACTTGTACACCCACGGACAAGTACGGCAAGTTTTGAAGGTCCTTGAAAAAGTTTCCTCTGCTGTTGAAATTGTTATTGTTGCTGCCACAATTTGTCGCACTTGCCACACGTTATGTTTTTTTTTTTGTCGCACTGCCACAAAGTATGCAATGCCGTTTGCAGTTTTAATTTTCTGCTAATTTTCTGTGCAGTTTTTCAATTATTTTGTCTAGTTTTTTCACTATTTTCACAGGTTTTCACTTGCGAAGCAGCAGCACTCGGAAAATTGAATGGGCTGGCTGAAAATTCTAGCAGCCTGCGGATTTCTCGATTGAGTGTACGCCTTGCTCGCTGAACCGGAGCGTGGCTTGAGCATGCGCGGTGCCACCAAAGAACAAGTGGCTGCACTAGCTAACAACTGGGGGTGGTTTTCACACTGGCGCCATCTAGTGCTCGTTTGTGTTTGCATTGGGGTGGAATGGGATTATACGGTAAGTGGGTGTGTGTTAGATAACGGTTTTTCAAATGCTTATGGGCAGCTATTTTGTGCAGAAAGGTGAGAGTAGGCAATGATTGATTAGTGGTTAGAGTTGGAATTAATCAATCAGTTTTTCAATCACTCAGACCTTCAGAGAATATTACCATCCTATCAATACATCATACAAATAGTTCAATGTCACAGTCACATTAACAGTAAATTATGTAGATAATAATAGATAGCTTATCAAATATTCAGGTCAGTCAGTCGAACAGTTTGTTCAACAGTTTCTCAGTCAAAAGACTAATTCTTAAATCATGCAATCAATCATTTAACTATTACTAAAAGGTTATTCAATCAATCAGTTAGCTAGACTGTCAGACAGTTGGATTTTCAGTCACTCAATCAATCAGCATAGAAGGTCACTCAAACAGTCGATTTTTCAAGTTACTCATTCAATGAATCAATCAGATAGTCATCAGCCTATCAATCAGTCAATTAGCTATGAGTATCAGTCAGTCAATCGTCTATGCTTTTTAGTCAATCAGTTTTCTCCATTCAATCATTCATTTGTTTTATATGCATCACAAAGTCAATCATAGCCAATCAAGTTCTAGTCAATCAATTCTCTCAATTCAATCATTCATTTACTTTTGGTGCATCACACAGTTAATCATAGCCAGTGATTGTTGCTCTCTTTGCAGATGACTATTATTACCTATTACCCAGACTTATGATAACTTTTCATACATGCCCATCAATCAGGCTACTTTTCATGCATTTTCTGACCATATGCTGGCAATGTAGAGGGCGCTAGTAAAAAGTAACTGTAGCACTTACCTTATGTAGCCCATGAAAGCGTAGTTCGTGCTGGATATCGCTATCTGGCAGCTGCCAGACCGCCTTTGGCCTGTGGCTGTTATCTGGCGGGCATGAGGTTGCGGCATTCGCTTGATACTCGTCGAGTGTCTGGGCCAGTTCGTGCAGTAAAAATTCCTGGCAAGTGGCATATGCGTTGCCTGTCAGCGCTCTGCCAATAACATTGCCATTCGCATCCGATTCCGCCTGAGCATCCAAATGACTGTAGACGGACTCAATGTGCAGCACAGCAGTTGTCTTCAATGAAAGCTTCTCCGGCTCCTCCACATCCGCCGCCAGTCGCAGCTCCCCCTGGCTGCGGCTCACCACATGGTAATAAAATGGCGGCTCATCTGTTGGGGCTGCTGCTTCTGCTACTGCTGCTGCTCCTTCTCCTCCTCCTGCTCCTCCTACTCCTCCTCCTGCTGCTGCTGGCTCAGATTCTGTTGTGGCTATATATTCATTACTCGCTGTCAACTGTTGCCATATTTTGTGGGCCTGGGCCAAATCTTGCTGGGACAGGGCGATTGTCAGCACAGATTGATGATGTGCTTGAGAGCTCTGCCGGGAGACACACTTGCCCATCAAGCCACAATATCGGCGTCGGCGTCGGCGTCGGTGTCGGCATGGGCCCAGCCAATAACTGGCGTTGATTCTGATTGCACTTCGCTCACGTACGCCAGCTGACAGCTAATGCCTAATGCGCTGACTTCCGTTACGCGATTTGTCGATTTGCCTGTTTGCCTCTTTACTGTTGTTTGTGTTGTTGTTTGTGGCGCCGCCGCTCGCTGCAGTTCGCTGGCTGCTGTGGCACTTGCAACGCCTGTCAAAATTAGTCGTAAACGCATGAGTGAGTGGGTTATCATATTAGCTGCCTTGGCAGCCGATGTGGCATATTGATATGCTGGGAACGTGTCGAGATGCCATGCGGTTAGCCGCTAGCTACTGACAATACACTGCGAGAAATTTGCAGACGCATTGAGTGTAGACCCAAAAAGTATACGAATTTGATTTGCTTGTTGATTAAATTAATTTATAAATATTATTGCTTTTATAAGGACTAATCTTCTATTTTAGTTTATATTATAATTAAGCTTGATGTTGAAGCTTTAATCTTCGCAGAAAGCCAACATTAAGATATCTATGTAAAAGCAAAGCAGAATTTATAATTTTCGTTATTTTTAAGCATAAGCGTAGCCCCTTATTATTTGGTTAAAGTCTTAACATATTAACATATTTTTTTCTTCTTTTATTTCTTTATATTAAGTCCGTATTAAGTCTAGTTTCTGCAAGACATGAGCTTTGGTTTAAAGCTCTATTTCAAAGTTACTAATATCTTACAATTTAACTATGAAGCTCTATTAGCAAGTCTCCTGGTCCAGTTTTAGGGTTACATATCAGAACTTAGAAATAATTTGTATTATTAAAGCTCTTTAATACCTCCCTTTATTCAGCAATATAGTATTTATTTATATAAGGACTTTTTTCTATTCTTTAAATAATAGATAGCTTTACACCAGATTAACAGCTTAACTTGAAAGCTTCAGCTGAAAGCAATGAAGTAAAGGCACTCTATAATTAAAGCTCTCTGAAAGCTAATATATTACTCAATAGATATCTTAACTATTAAGTGCATATCATTTATGTGTTCAGCAAGTATATTAACATTAATTGAAGCTCAAATTAGTTTTCAGCTAAAGCTTTTCGCTTCAAGCTTTAATATTGCAACGTTTTTTAGCAGTGCTCGAAATTTTACACTTCTGCTGCTGTTTATTGGCAATCTCAAGTGCAACTATTTAATGTTGTAATCAATTTGAAGCTTTACTTAATTTTTTACCAACATTATTTTTTGCGAAATGTAAAAGCATGTGCATCCCTCTCTCAGCTGCCCCTCTGGCCAACCCTGCGGCTGCTCGCTTTGTCGATGCATTATGCGAGGCAACACGTTTTTTATTAAATTTTATTAGAGTGGCGCATGCACACGGACTGAAGAAGCATAGCTGCCGCAGCTCCCAAAAGCGCACCACAACAAAAACAACGCACACACACACAGACCCATACTCGCTGAGTGTGTGAGTGAAATGTAAGCAGAAGCCTTGGGGAGAACGCATCCTGATCCTGGCTGCTAGCAGCTAGCTTTATGGCGCATTTGCTGCATAACAAGATTTACACCCACAGCGGTTGCTGCATTGGCAGCGTTGGTCTGTCTGCTGGGTCAGAGGTGTTTGAGGTGGTTGCCGTGGCTGCAGTGGCTGCAGTGGGGCCTGCTGGCGGGGGCTGGGGGGCTAGAGAGCCGCGCTGTATTTCTGCTGCTGTTGCACTACTGTTTATGCCTGCTTATGTCGTTTGGCTTACTCACATTTGCCACGCGGCTTTGTGCTGCATAAATTTCACTGGCGCTGGCACGCCCCTCTGGCTCCTGTACCGCCCCCGCCGGCCCCACTGCTACGGCTAGCACGTGGCCCCTTTGTATTAAGTGCCAAGTTTTTATTTGCCGCGTACTATTCAACATAATGAGGCAATTCTATGTTGTGCTTGTTTTTTTTTTTTTTTGGGCTTTGACTGTGCCACTCGCCGTGGCAGTTGCAATTGAAGCATGCGGCTTTAATGCGGCACTTTGTATGCGAGCAAATCCTTGAGCTGCGATTGGGTCGCATATGGAAATTGAGCATCGAGTAATTATGCGCATAAATAAGCGTAAGCGTGTCACCAACAACTGCCTGCCACAAGGCGCTGCGGCTTAATCGACGTGGATGCCACAGATATAACTGCCAGACTGACTGACTGACTGTCTATCTCTCTCTCTCTCTCTCTCTCTCTCTCTCTCTGTGTTTGTGGCACGTAGCTCATGCATAAGCATAACAATGCCCATTACCATTACCGTTACTATTCTGATGCTTGCACCAAATCGATGTGGCATGCAACAGCTGCACGCTTACAACTTTGGCTACCAACGCCACGACACGTTGGCTCATGCATTTCAATTGCGGCCCAAAATGAATGCGACTCGAATGCCTGCCGCCACGTGGCAGCTGCAACCGACTGCCGAATGCCATTGCCACCCATAAATGGCACAAGGACTAAAGTTTCTGACTCGCCATGCTGACGCTTTTAATGCCCCGGGCATCAACAGGAAACTTCGCCCAAAGACGGCGACGAATGCCAACTTCTCGGCATTTCTCATGCAAATTGACAGCGAGCGACTACAGTAAACACTCATTGCGGCTGACACGGTGCTCGAAGGTGCCACAGCTCGCGGCTAGACCGAGTGGCGACTTCCCTCCGTCTCTATCGGTCTACCTGTCCGCCTGTCTGTCTGTCTGTCCGTCTGTCCGTCTGTCCATCCGCCCGGCGTTGCGTGGTTAAAAGCAATTGCATTTTGGTAATTGAACAAGTCAACGCTTAATTATTGCACTACACTGAAAGCCAACCATAAATGTCTGGCTGCCTGCCGCACAACCAGCGCGGCTGGCGGGGGGAGCGTGGTCACGGGGATGGGCAGCAGGCGAACCGACGACGACTCGAACGAATTCTCATTTATGCACGGGGCTGGCAGAGGCCAGGGGAAAAGTGCATTTTCATGGCGCGGAAAATGTGCAAAAATGAGCAATTGCTTCTGTAAACGTTTCTTGCTGCTGTTGTTGTTGTTGTTGCTGTTGTTATGGTTGTTATTGCTGTAGTTGTAGTTGTAGTTGTAGTTGTAATTGTTGCTGTTGCCGTTGCCGCACATATTGTGGCAGTTGCCAGTGTCATAATACCCAGTAGTTGCTCTGCAAAAGGTTATATAAAGCCTTTGCATCTGCGTGTGCACAGAGAAATAATTGAACTGAATGTGAAGGCGGATGAAATGGGAGGGTGGGGGGCAGCGAAAGTGGGAAAGCTTTAGTTGAAAGTTTTGCGGAATATCCGAAGGGAAAGAATGAATAGAACAGAAAATACTAAATCAGCAGTTTAAAGCCATCGACATATGCTGAATTGATCGTGAATCGGAAATCGAGAGAGCGAGAGAGAGAAGCTGAAGGAGTCTTAGTAGAGCTCGCAAACTCCGCTTATAGCGTCGGTACGGTTATTGCGACGAACATTCTGGTCTCCAGAAAAACTTATATGAGTAAGCTTATATAGTTATAGTGTTTTCCGGCTATACTGACATTCCTTTAAGGGTCGTTTCTAATCTAGATTCTACTGCATTTTCCTGCTCGGGACGGCGAACAGCACATGATTTAGACTCAACTGTTGAGTTTTTTTAATTTATACACAAAAAAAAAAAAAAAATCGAACATCGCGATAAATCGAACAAAAATCAGTCCCTCTGAAAAAACTCGTTCTCGATAATTTTTGATAATTTGAATTTCTATGTAAATCAAAAAAAAAAAAAAAAAAAAAACTGATCCACTTGCCAATGCGCATAGTCGGGACTCGACTATAATAATTCATATGCAAACATATTAATTATATAGACAGATATTAGATAAAAATAATACTATATATTATAGAGCAATAATTTTGAAGCCCATCAAGTAAATTTGCCAGAGTTCTGCTTAAAGTGTAGTAAGTCAAAGAGTTCAACAAAGAGTCTCATTGCTCAACTCAGTTTAGACAGATAATAGGAACAGCAAAAGGGACCTGAGAGGACGAACTTACATATGTGAAATCGAGCAGAGCTAAAGAGGTAAACAAAGTAAACTAACTTAAGTATGCAGCAAGTGGAAAGCAAAAGTGAACAAGGACCTCGATTAAGAGCAATAAATTATTCAGCAAATAGTGCTCCATTGTCAGTTTTCGAAATGAAAAGTAAACAAAGCTTTTGCTAGACCACTGAAACTTGAAGCTTAAAGGATATCCTGAAGTCCTATCAACTTTTTGTGTCCTGTCCAAGGTTTGTTGTCTGTTTGCGCTTGATGCGTTTTAATTGACGGCTCATTTTGGAGCAACTGCAGTTGCTGTTGCAGTCGAAAAAGTTGTGAATTCTGAAAATGTGACGCTTTAAGGTGCTTTATGCTGTTGCCTAGTTAAAAATAGATCCATTTCCGTTATTGAGAAAGTTTCGGTACAAATGCTGGAATCGCTCGAAAAGCCTCAATGAAAATATTTTGCTCGACACACAGCATAAACAACAACAAAGTCGGACACTTGATAGGTTTTTGTGCCGCTTTGGGACTGTCGCACCCCCGCCCCCACCCCCACACACAGTCCCCGCCGCCCCTCTGGACAAAGCAACGCCCGCGCACTATTGGCCATAAATCAATTTTTCAAAAATGACACTGGGAAATGGAAAAAGTAAGCTCAAAGCTGTGCGAATATTGAAAGCTGCCGAACGAGCCGCTCTCATATCAGCCTCTGCCCCACTGCCCCTCTTTCGACTACCCTGTCGCAGCCGCCAGCACCCGCTCCTACATTGGCATCCATAGACACCAAGCGTACAAAAGCCGTTGCTCGCATGGGCGAGGGCGTGGGCAGGGACATGGGCATGGGCGTGTGTGTACATGCACGGAGCTCAGAGATAAACTCATCGCATAAAAAATGTATATTTTTACTTGCATTTTCTCCGCTTTTTACGTTTCATTTCTTTTTCTTTTTTTTTTTTTTGGTGAAACCAGCAAATCTTTGCAGCTGGCGTTGAAAAGTTTTGTCGACGGGTTTGTCATCATAAATTTTAATATTTTTCAACTATTTCTTGCTCATTTTTTCTTGTTGCTCGGACCCTGTATTGGCAAGGGAAACGGTGCTTCGTTTCGAAATGTGAAAATGAGCACGTTAATAGCAAAAAGCAGACGCAGCCCAAGCCAACGGCAATGCTACAAGCAACAGCAGCAAAGGATACGAGGCGTATGCGCAATACAGCTGCTGCAACAGCAACAGCAACAACAACAACAGCAACAGCAGATAATGGAACGGCTCTGTGGCCAAGTGCTCAAAACTGCATCCAAATGCTATGAAATGCAAGCTGACTGATGAAAAAGTATAAGAAAGAGACAGAGTGAGAGAGAGAGTTAGAGAGAGACAGTGAGAGAGAAGAAGAATGGTGCATTGGCTGGGGAATATGAATGAGCACTGTCAAGCGAATCGAATGCTATTGATAGTTCAATGAATCATTCTAATGATATGTGCAGCACACATCAATTTGTACTGAGACTGAAAAATTGAATGCAAAAGGAAGAAACTTGAAGAAACTACAGTATATAAGACTAAATTGTCTGAATATGTAGATATATTTATATATGTATGCATGCATGTATACCTATATACATATATATGTATGTATGGATAAGCATGGGTTAAGACAACAGCTCAAATACAAATGTAATTGATTTTTTATGGCCATCTGTTTAGTAGCTGAGAAACAGAAGCGTATATACGAGTTACTGTAACATATGAAAGTAGAAAAGGGAGTGAGAGAGAGGAAGGGGGGGACACATAGGTGAAGAGTGAAAATTATTGCTTGAAAACAATAGTGAGGTGGCTCTACTGTACCAGAGAGCATTGAGGAACCAAAGATAGAGATTCGCAGGGTCACATAGAGATGGTATGACAGAGAAACAGCTAGAAAGAGAGAGGGAGGAAGTGAGGCTACAGTAGATAGAGACAGAGAGAGGGGAAGAAACACAGAGAGAGTGAGAGAGAAACAGACAGAGAGAGACAGACAGAGAAAAGCAGACAGAGAGATAAAGAGAGTGATGGAGGGGTAGACTGGGACAACAAATTAAAACTAAGGCATTGATAAAGAGAGAAATATGAAAATAAATAAAGAAATAGCGGAGAGAGAGGGAGAGTTATAGAAAGAGACTCAAAAAGAGAGAGCTAGAGAAACATACAGAAATAGAGCGAGAGACCATCATAAAAGAAGACAGCAAGTAGGCTAAAAACTAAAACATTAAACAGTTGTTTTATGTGCAACTTAAATAATAAAAGCACTCACAACCAAAGCTTTAACCACATTCGAGTTTTATGTTTAAAGCCATTAATGCAGAAAACCCCATATATAGTTAGTTAAAATAATAATAGTACGTTTTACTTAATTACAAGCTGCGAGTAAATTAAATTTGCATGTGGAACAGAAACCATATGCATACCTATATATGTGTGTAAGTATATATGTGCATATATACTCATTATATATATAGCGATAGTGCTATAGTACATATATGCATAATCACACAATAGAATTTATGAGAATGGTCGTACAACTAGTTGAAACAACACTTAGTTAAACACACGTAATCAAGCCAGGAAATCTCAGAGCTGTGCTTTAATTAATGAGAAACGCATAGAGAGGCGCTCTGCAGTAAAGCACTTTGCTTGCTTTCTTTCTTTTACTTGAAAATGAAATGAAAATGAAAAGGAAAATGTTAAGATACTTAAAAATAACATAAATACATGCATGCATATACATTTATAAGTACTTATCTACATGCATACATATATGCATAAATACAGGCACACATATACCGTTATATATGCACATAAGTACACGTACTTAACTGCACAGCATTCAGCTGAGAATTCGACATGAAATTGTAATCAATTTGATTTAGTCAACTGCACTTAATAATAATCGTTTGCAAAAAGGACAGCCATAAGTTGAGAGTGGACAGAGTGGACACTGGACGCAGGACAGAGTGGACACTGGTCAAGCTGCCTGTCAGCTGTCAAGTGAACTTCCGGCATGGGTTGAAATTAGCAAGGAGAGGCGACTTCATTTCGTTTACATGCTGTGCATAAGCGAGTGGCCCAGTGGCCAAGTTAGTTATGGTTGCATGTGAGTGTGTTTGACTGTTGCAAGTAGCTCAGCAGCATCACTAGCTGTGTGTGTGTGTGTGAGTGTGTGTGTAAGCTGAAGGCAAAGAGACCTTTTCATTATTATATTTCTGTGGCGTTTACTTAATAATTACTTGGCTTTTGTTGCTGTTGTTGTTGTTGTTACTGTGGTAAAGTCTTTGGTAATATTTCAGGGTTTTTTGTTTACGACTCGCCAGCAGAGCGTGCAAACTACACGCAATTGACAAACTCCTCATCAAGCCGCATAATTGCAAATTGTTATTGTTGTTGTTGCTGTGGAGCTTCATGCTATTATGCTCTGGTTTTTAATGCAACCAAGTGGGGTATATGGGTGACAACTGCTTTAACTCCCTATGTAAGGAATTTTAATAAATTTTATTTCAGATAGAGTCAAGAGATCACAAGTTTGCTCATTCAGTTATCTCTGCTTAATAGTTATCTTTTATCTCCAACTAACAGTGTATCTAGCAGTCCATCATGCTCAGCTGCTACGCTCTCGAGCAGTTTAACTGGAGACGCTTGTTTGTCAATTTGCGTACTCTGAAAATTCTTGTATGTAAACAACATTCAGCTAAGCGAGCCATATAAGAGTACATAAAGTAAATGTAGATATATATATAATATACACATATATGTACACACATACACATGCATATATAATAATTACGCAATTGCCGGCCTTGTCATAGCCTTTGCCCCTTTTCTGCCCACTCTCCTCACCCAGCAAACTTTTGCTTGAAATATTTATCATATTTTTGCTGAGCTTCTTAAGTCTGTTTTGAATTTTAATTTTCTAATTTCTTCAAGTGCTCGGGCTTGGCACTTCACACACTTCACAGACCTCAAAAATATGCATATATTATTAGCAGTCAATTTCATTTTCATAGAGCTTTGATTAAAGCCGGAAAACAACCAAGCATTCACATCAGAAATATTTTGATTGATTTATGAATTGCATAAATCATTAGAAGCAACTAGAACTGGATTTTTCACTAATAAATTAAAATATGTGTTGGAATGCTGAAGGCCAACCGTAACCAACTGCCCAATACTTGTCCAATAAAAGACAGAGAGAGATAGAGAAGATAGCTATCAAGACTGAACGGATAGGCAGCATAGATGGAGAACATAAACAGCTGGACTCACATTGAAACGAATATACCCGATTCATATTTCATGCATATCTAAAATTAATATTGACTTTTAATGGATTGAATTGATTTATTTGTTCTACAGACGTTTAGTGAATGCAAATGTATTCATATTCATAAAATATGAGTATTTAATGCACATCAAATTAAAGTTCTTGAATCAAATTCAACTTTATGCAACACTTGAATCTGATTCGAGTGTAAAATTGGCTGCGCAGCTTTTTACAGAAATTTCTGCTTTGCCTCCAGCGTCTAGATGGCTCTGCATTGATATTCACATGCGAGCGATTGCTTTGCTAATTTCCTGTTTTGGCCGCTTGTCACACGCGTCGTATGCTTAACATTTTGATGATTTGCCCAATTTATATGCCTGCCAGGCAGTCGCTCGACTCTGCTCGAATTCTTATTTTGTGTATGTGAGTGCGCTTAGAAGCCCATGTGAATGGCCTCAATCATGATTGAGCCACGTTTGCCAGCGCCTTGGCATGCAAATGCCGTTATTGTTTGGGTATTACGAGCACAATATAACTGGCATTAAGAGACCGCCCAGTTATTTAATATGCATAACTGTGCGGGAAATATATATATATGTATATGTATTTGTGCACGCGTCAACTGAAGCGCGAATCGAGCACCAAATGCAACAATGACGACAACAGCAGCAGCAGCAACAAAACCAACAACAATCAGATTGAAATCGAGACTAGCCATATATAAAATTATGATGATAGTCTTTGAGCGGGCATTACCCGGCTTTGCTCGTGCCAAGTCTTGCTCAGACGTGATTTGGCGTCTGTGTGAACATTTGAGGTGTCTCTGTATTACCTCAAGCCCCGCTTTTCGAACACTCAATTTCATATCGTGTATCGTTAGAGCACGTATTTGATAAGCTTTGAAAGTGATTTGTTATCAAACATTTTGCTCTCAGTCGAAAATCATCAGAAAGTTCGTCACGTTTTTGACCTTATCAGTGAAGCCAGTTGACAGTGGGTCAATCATATGGCCAATCAAACAGTCACTCACTTGATTGATCAGTCATTCGTTACTTGTTAGTCAATCACATTGTTAGTTAGTCACTCAATCAATCAATCACTTCTCAATCATTGTCAATCGCTTAATCACTTAGCGGTCAAGCACTCGCACTCACCGTTTCTCACTCAAACAAACGATTTGTCAGTCCGTTAGTCTATCGGTTGATCTATCAACTGGCACGTCTCTCGCACTCAATCATCAAGTCACTAGGTCAACCGGCAAATCAATCACAATTAGTCTCATTTACAGAATGATACTCTATACCATTTGCGTGCCCATGCTCTAGATCTCTCATAAAACTAGTCTAACTGTGTCATCACCTGGCGCTGGAAATTGTCTCTACCTGCGCCCGAGATGCAAATTATATTGGTGAAGCGAACCCACCTTTGGCTGGCTGCTTGGTGCTGTTGGGTCTTATCTTATCAGTCAATTTGGGTTCTTAGTTTTGTTTTGTTGCGCGTAATTAAATTGCGATTCACTAGAGCCCGTCGAGTTCTCTCTTTCTCTCTCTCTCTTTCACTCGTTTTCGTATATTTTATTTCCTTTGAACTGCACTTTGTTTCGTAAAGTTTTCTCAGATATTTTCTTTCATTTTAATGAAGTGCACTTTTTATTCATATTTTTTTCTCTGCGACTGGCCTTGATATGAGCCTCGGGCATTATTTGCTTGTTGTTGTAGTTGTTGTTTTATCTGGCATTTTAAAACTTTTACCAGTTCTTTTTCTTTTTGTTCTCTTTTATTTATTTTCCAGTCAACTGACTCGCACTGGCGTCATATTTGTTATTATTATTAGCCAAACGCGTCAACGGCGACTGACTGGGCGCTACGCATATGGCGAGCACCTTAGAATCGATCGTTAAAGCCAAGCGAAAAAGCTCCGCGTGCAAAGCTTTCAACAGCAGGTGTTCGATAGAGCTTTGCCTAGAGCTAGAGCTGTAGAGCGCAAGCTTTGCTATGCTCTAAGCTGATAATGGCAATGATCACGCTATGTACACTGTGCTACAAAAGTGCGCGTGCACTCGAAAGATTCGATTAGCTGATCTTGGTTTAGTTACCAGAGCTTAGTTAAATAGAGTTTAAAGCAAGGAAGACTAACTCACTCCTAAGCTACGATATTACATTATCCAGGTACTATAGAGAAAATATACTCTAAGGCTATGATCAAGCTCGGTCTAGAGTGTAAATGAAAATGAAGTACTGTTAACAGTATTTCAGCGTAAGCTCCAATTTGCAATTCGAACCCATATACCCATTTCGAACCGTTTACCAAGGACACAATTAAGAGTTGATAAGCTGATAATCCTTTAGCAGAGCTGAGCGTTTAACTGAATCCTCTTTTTATCTCCCTTTAGTTTCTCTATAAAACAGATGCTTACACAGATACCCGCGCCCACACACACACACACACACACACACACACACATACACAGACATTGTCGCGCACATCAATATGCATAACTGTTGCAGCTATTAAAATGGAAGTTTCTTATCAAGAGCCGGCGAACCAAATGAAATTCAACACGTTGAAGCAGAGCAGGTGCAAAAGCTCGGGACAGGCTAAAAGGTTGGCCAGCTGGCCGCCAAATGCCTGCAAGACTGGGCTCTGGGCTGGGTTTGCGTTTGTGTCTGGGTCTGGGCTTGGGTCTGGGTTTGGCTGGGCGTCAAGTGCCATAAAAAGCAACACTTGCAACCCAAAAACTAAAGTGCAGGTCTTTGGCATGTGCCACCAACTGGTTGATGGCGGGGGGGCTGGTGGCTGTTGCCACCCGTTTGGCAGAGCGCTCATCTTTCAAAGGCGTCGTATTGCGTAAGTGTTGGTGTTTGCTGTTATTGCTCTGTTCACACAGACACGCACACACACACCAACACACCCGCACTGTGATACAAATAGAGACGTGTGTACACAGAGAAGTAAAAAGAAACACAAAGGAAAACATTTACAAAACTTCCATTTCCGTTTTATATGGGCTCGCTGGGTAAGCAACCCTCCAGCGCCAACTGACAGTGCTGGTGCCTCGCGCCACCTACCCACGTACCCACCTTTCCCCAGTCCCAGCCACTGCTCTAGCTCCAGCTCCATTGCCAGCACAGCATCAGCCATGCGGGAAAATTGAAAAAAGATAGTTGCACATAGTTAGATGAACCAAATGGCAAGCAAACCCGCAAACCCTAAGCCCCGCACGACCCTCAGACGGCAACCTGAAACGCTACAAAGGTAAGAAAAATGCCGTTTGGGCAATGGGCGACGGAAGTGCGCATTGTACAGGCTGAGCAGCTAAATCAAATGATAAAATGAAGTTGTAGTCCTTTGGCGTGTGCGACCGCGAGCACAGCGACAAACAGGACAAACAACCAATGGCCGACAGCAACAGGAGCTGCCGTTGCCGTTGCCTTTGCCTTAGCCGAAGCATTTGCCAGCGCCATCGCAGCCGAAGAACTTTGGGACACGAGCAACAACTCACTCGAGCCGGAGCTTTTCACCACGGCCTCTCACTCGAGTGCCCCGATTCCACTCGAACGTTGAGCGTGTTTGGCCTTTGGATTTGCACTCTTATCATAATTGCATGTGTCATTGAGGAATTCAGCAAGAAAAGAAAAACGAATTTGAATTGCTTTTTTTTTCGTAACATACTTGGCAGCGACTTGATGCTGCGAAAAGTGTAGCCTACTTTTAGGGCTGGCTGGTGGGCGGGCTAATTAACCCTTGTGCGTTTGCCTAATTGCGCCTGGTAAAACTTTGGCTTTGACTAATTTGAGGGCTGACTGCTTTTACCCTCTTATCAATTAAAAGAATTTGAATTGATATCACAAAAAAAAAAATAAATAAATAAAATGAGAATGCATGGAATCTTTTTATGCGCACAGACGTATTTGAATATGGAATTAGTCAGGTGTGAGTCGAAAGTTTCCTCAAATCCTCAAATAGCAATTATCACACACAAATTAACACTCGATCAAAATAGATGTCAACTGAAATTGATAATAAACGAAAAATGGTAATTTATCAGAAAATATTTCGCAGCCCATTTGAATGCGAATTTATCAAAGAATTATCAAGCCGTTATCAATTGCTAGCATAAATAGAGCCATTGAATTCAGAGTTTCTGTTTTGACGTCATGAATCGCAGCTAATCGGAAAATGTATACTTGAGAAAAGAGCTCTCGTTTACCATTGTTCTCTATTAAATTTTTTTGGAAATATATTTATTTTCTACTTGATGTGGGTTTATCAGCGCTGCTGATACGACTCCCCAAAGGGTAGCCGGGCGCATTTTTTGTGGCAATTAATTGTTGAAAATCATTTGGAATTCGAATTTGAGCGCTCGCAACTCAACAACAAAAACAAAACAAAAATATTCAACATGTATACGGCGGTAAAATGTTGAAATGCTGGACAAACTTCACACCTCGGTGTGCGTGTTGCCATTCAACCTGGAAAATCAATCAATTAGAGCGCCAGAATTAGTTAATTTGCATTGTGCCAATTGCCACACAAACAATCCTCGCATTCGGACCAGGGCGCAGCCCTTAATGGCCCTGAAATATTGGACGTGATTCTAATGCTGTTATTGTTAGTTAAGCGCATTACGTACATTATGGTTATTTGCACCTGTAGCTATAGCTGAAGCCTATGCGGCGAATGTGGCGAATGCTGCGTATGCGGCCAGTGCAATCGCAGCATATCCTCGATTTGCCTAGTTGGAGCAGCGCAACCCACTGCCCACACACAAAGGAACAGCATAGAGAGCGAGCGAGAGAGCATGTGCGACTGAGAGAGCGCTGAGCGCAAAGCCGATCAGTAACGAGGGTGGCTCTTGCAAGTCATATTTGCTCTTGCGTCTCACTCACGTGCTCTCCAGAACAATCGATGCATGCCTGCTGCATACCCTGTGCTCAGTGCAGTTTCACGACTCATGAGAGCCATTGAGGCAGGTAGAAAATCGTATAAATAGAAATTCGTTGGAAACCCAGAAATGTAAGGTTAAACGAAGACTCAAGGGCAAGGAGAGACTAAAAAGGCAATATGTGGAAATTTACAAAAATTCCACTCTGAAACAACATACAGGGTACATTTATGTCGACGCTTATGAGTTTCACATAAAAACCGCTCTCACTCTATTCCAAAACATGTTGTTGTTGTTGTTGTTGGTTTCTGTCGATATTTCTGCTGCTGCTGCTGTTCGGCTCGATTGCTCTCCGTGTTTAAAAACGTGCTGCCGCAGGAACAGTAAATCATTACGCTCAGAAACGTGCGACCGGAAAGACGGAGACGATCGAGTCCAAAGAAAAAGAAAAAAACAACCGCTAACCGTTCGCCAAGTTCAAGTTTGTCGAGACGCCGCGCCGCGTGCGTTGCCGCTATCAAAGTTCTATAAAGTATTACGAAGAAACATTAAGAAATATATAAAATGAATTTGTAAAAGATATACGCAACGATATATGTACATATATACGTCATAAACATTGTGTGTTGTTGTTGCTACTATTGGTGTTTTTATTTGTTGCTGCTCTGCCATTTTCTGTGTCTCTGTGGTCGGCCGGTCGTCTTTCTTCGAGCGTTCCCGTTGCCGTTCCCGTTCCCTTTGCCAACATCTTCGATCGTCGCACTTTTGTTCCATCGACGCGTTTCTTTCGAACTGTATTTTGTATAATTCGCATACATGTGACGCAGCCGCTGCCGCCGCCGCAGTAATTTGTACAAAAAGTGATTTGTTTATTGTGACATTCGCCCCGACCCCCCGACGGCCCTTCGCACAGATGATCGGTCAATGAAGTTGTGTCGGGCACAGTGGAAAATTTTCGAGACACCGCGACACCGCAACACCACAAGTGAGGAGCAGCTGGTAAAACGAAAAGAAAAAGAAGAAACTGAAACAAAAACAAAAACAAGAAAATAAAAGACCAAATTGGCTACAGCCATCATCGAAAGTCGTGGGTAAAAGAGCTCTTAAAGTACGTGTCAATTATTATTATATTCATTTACGAGTCGCCGTCTCTGTCTGTGGTTATGGTTGTGTGTTGTTCTTGTTGTTGTTGCTCTGGATGGCTGCTATTTCTGTGCCAATTTTTGAAATTTTCGAATATTTTGTTTTTCAACTTGTGGCTAGCTATGACGCTGATATGAACTGATTATTGTTTTTTTGTGTTTTGTTTTGTTATTGTTTTTTTTTTTTACCCTCAAGTACAATTCCGAAAATAAGTGTCAACGGCAGACAAGCAATTTGCCCATTGTAGTTAGTGCTGTTATACATAACGAAAATACAGTTTTAGCCAGTGCCCAGATCTCGATCTGCTGCCAAATCGAATGCGTCTGCTCTCTTATTCAAATGCTTGATAATCAACTAATTATACATGTACATGAAAAACTAATCATCTTCAAATATTTTTGGCATTAGACAAGCAATCATAAAAAAAATGTCAAGCTCGAAAATGCAGCAAGTGATTACTCAACACACGCACACACACTCACACACAGAGCTTCTGCCTTTGTTACTCATTTACTCTTTCGTTCGCTCCCTCTCTCTCTCGCTCTTTCTGTGTTTTGTGTTTCTGTTACTCTGACTCTTTGATTCTATCTTTTTGAAACTGGTTCTGCATAGTTAGGCCCATTCACCATTCATTTCTTACATTTCTTTTCATTTCGTTTTTGTTTTTGTGTGTTTTGTGATTTTTTTTCCTTCATATTTTTCTTTTTTTTTTATGTTCTACTGTTCAAAGCAAAAAGTACACATAGTTAACGTTTTTCTCTTTATTCCTGCTCACGCTTCTGCCATCCCTGATGCTCGCTCTCGCTCGCACTGTTGTGCT